GGGGGGGGAGGCGCGTGGGGTCACTGCCACCTCACATAGAGGGTCGCCACAGAGGGTACCAGATGCAGCATATGGGTTCTGTGGAGGCTTAAAGCTGGGCACTGCCGGGAAGCAAAAAAAACGCTAACCATTCAATAAAAGTATCTGTCGTGGCCATACTCATTCTAGCCTGGTAACGACGCTCCTCCTTCTCCCTCCCCCTTCCCCCTTCCCCCTTTACCCTTCGTCAGGCTGTTTTAAAGCGTCGCTACGCAGGCTATACTCATTCAAAAATGCATTTCTTTCAGGCTCAGATGAGAACACAGTACGCAGGTCTAGGTGCGTCAGGCAGCTCGTACGGGTCGGTGACTGGTGGGGAGTCATCCGGAGAGAAGCGCCGCAAACTGGTAATGAAATTATAATTTTGTATTCATCGGATCTTTTGAATAGGATACAAAAAGCGACAGGGAACCCCTCTTTTTTTACTTTTTAAGGGCAACTTAGCGGGATCACGGAACCAAACTGTCATTTTTACCATAAAAGGGGCGTCTCCGTTTTCTGTAACATTTTTGGTGACAACATTTTGTTATTCATCCAGGGCGCGACTCCACAAGGTCAAACTTGTTTTCAACAAGAGATAAAATCCCATTACTGCGAAATAGCCTTTTTATCAAAATTAATTTGCACCAGACGGGTCTCGAGTCACATGTAACTAAAACAAACTATTAATAGGTAGACTCACAAACCGCTGGAAGTGACGTATATGTTATTAAAATTTTTCTACTTTATGCTAGGCCATGTCCAGATTCAGCGAACTATAAAGGTCTTCTTTTAAACTGAACTGAATCGTATCCTGGTGAAGGAAGGGGCCAAGAAAGAACAGAAGAGGCGCCTAATTTCAAGCCTTGTCAACACACCCGTCGTCTTGGTAGATCTCCACTCAGATCAGCGCGCCACACATTTCAACTGTAATGGAGAATTTGGCCTTTAAATAATGACAACACTGTAAAGATCTAAGCAGATATAGCCATTACTAACGAGCTAATGTATCTGCTTTTCATATAAGTGATGTTTTCTATCATAATAAAGAGGTCTTTGTTTTATTATTCGCGTGTTGGGCTATTGAGTCAAAAGGGTAGAAAACTAGTTCACAACGATAAAATAAAACTACAGATATAAACTTGTTTTCTAGGTTTCTTCTTTGCGCATCACCCCCAGATAAGCTAGAGGGCAATAAGTATGTGCGTATTGCTCCTCTAGATAAATCTTACAGTAAATTTTACATTTTCCTGTGCGCTTTAATTCCCTTCGTCTATCTCGAATCAAAAGGTTCTGAGCGGAAGTGATGTACTTCTGGGCCCTCGGGGTTCCTGACTAACTGGGCTTGGGTCTCTTCATTTTTGTAAATTATTTTCTACGGTGTTTCTCGCTCCGCAAAACCCAACACGGTAAATTCTAATTCTATAAGTAACTCATCCATGGCTTGACCTTGATTAGCACAGAAGTACGTCTATGTTATAAAAAGAAATAGTCTTTTGGCACGGCACGGAGATTCGATCTTTAGCAGGAAATTGAACATTGGGTTGCCTTTATTGAATTGACGTGAGAGCCTGAACCGGAAGTCTGTCAACTGTGACGGGGCTTTTGGTGAATATATGAATACATAAAGAGCAGCGAAGCGAAGGAGAAGTGCTGCACTTTATATGGAAAGATTTCCCTAAAACCCAACCAAAAACATCATCTTATCGCCTAAAACCACAGATCGTGGATACCACAAGGAAGAGAGAGTACAAGTACTTTAGTTTAGCTCCGTTTTTATCAAAATGGTCTCGATTAGACGGCGAGAACTGTTATGGCTGTTGAGCATATTGATGTTCGTTCAAATTCGTTCTTTACTTGGCGCCGACTGTAAACAGGTTGGTATTAATTTCTCTTCAAATTTACCTTCTTTTGTACCTAAATGCGTTTATTAATACCCATTATTAGTGCCTACATCGAATTTAAATTAAGATTTATCCCATTTTTGTATTTTTTAGGAGGAAATCAAATACGAGTTTACTGAGTGTGATTCGAGTGACAAAAGATGGCGAGTTGCTGTTCCAAAAACGCCCGGTTCCTGTGAAGTCAAAGAAAACCCAACGAGACAGGAAAAATGCAGTATGTATCTACTTTTCATTGTTTATCTAGCTGGCTTTATTTTAGCTTTATTATCCTTTCCTGTGTCGAATATTTATAGCTTCCCCTTCGAGTGATGACGACCTTCTTGCGCAGACTAGCTAAACCCTTTGAACCGTGAAGTCTGATTATTCCCTCTAAATTGTTTAAAAAAAATCAAACAAGATAAACAACCTAACATATTCGATTCTTTAATATTTTTTGCCAAAAAAATTAAGAGCAGAAATTTGTAATGATTTTATTAGTATTCCAACTACGTATGCGGAATTATATAAGTTTACTTTTGATTTCAGTTAAGAGTTAAGCTACGGTTTTCCATCACAATAAACCTAAGAAAAAAGCTTTATTTTGACTTAACAAAGGTTTATTCAACCAAATATTTTCTAGAAACAAAAATGATGATTTTAGGGTATAAATATATAAATCTACAACGTCAACGACCTCAGAATTTGAAAAAAATAAGTGTCATGTTTTTGCGCGCTTTTTCTTGATCTCAAAATTACTGAAGTATCTTCATGGTGTTCAAATAATTGGTTTATAAATATTTAATATTTTGGCCTGTGATCGGAGATCAATTGTTTATTTCCAAACGACACTAAAATCTACATTTTATTGATTTATTTTTCAACTTCGTGATATCTTTTATTCATTATTAGTATATTTTATTTATCACTTTCGAAGTGGGCCAAAGTAATAAAAGCCATTCTAATGTCGTCTAGAAATTTGAATAATTTAACTCGAATTACATATATTTGATTGACACTAAATTGTTAAGAAATGATGAGTTTTTTATGTGGACTTTTAACTTTTATGCCTCTTGCACGTTTTAGTATAGAAATTATCTTAATGTAAAGATAAAAGGTGTGAGGATTTTATACCTAAATATATCCATTTAGTAATTATTACTACCAAATCCTGCAAACTGATTGGTTAATAATAGTGCCATTTAAGCATTTATAAATAATTTATTTTGTTAAAAAATATAGATACATCAGATCATGACTTGGATATATTATTTCAAGTAGTACCCCAATGCATCTTGATACCAATATTGTATTAGACCCTATGAAAATATATATGAAACAAATTTGGATTTAAGTAGTAACAAAGAATACATTGTTTTAATATTTAGAGATATTTTGATTATTTTATGGTTGTTAGATAAGTGCAGAGTGCATACTTTATTTAAGCATAGCAGCCCTTAGGCTTAACCAAGTGAAAAAATATTTAGAAGAGATAACTAGCTAAAAACTAGTGTGAGCTGCCTCGGTGTTTCTAATGAAACAGTATTAAATGATAAAAAGGTAAATACATGAAATTATTTGACAAAGGACTAGCATCCGAAACATTAATAAGTTTTTTCATCTTTTCACGGTGTATAATTTATCTTTTTATCATTACTGAAATAATATTTTAGTCTATATGTAGCATATGTAGAGTGGTTTATGGCAGCCATGTGGAATTGCAAAACGATAGAAATTTTCTCTTTGGGCCAGGGGAAATAAATTCTTGTGTTATGCAAAAATATTGTATTGCTTATGTCTTAAAGTGCAAATGAACCCTTTGACAATACATTCAGTACTGATTCTGCATAAAGTAAATAGTTGATTGGTAAAATATTTCTTGATTTGAGTGATGCGTCTCTAAGTTATGAAGGTTTGTACTTCCAATCTGTTAATGATGATGACGTCAGGTAAGGTATTTGAGTGTTTTTGTTGTAACTAGTAATACTAAATGCTGGCCATTTTGAAAATAAAATTTTAAATAGCTTTCATGTAAACCATGAGCAAAATAATGATGCTTTTTAAATACTGTATCTATGAACCAGTTCGATTTTGTATATTTAATTAAGCCTTAATAGACGTCACACTCATTAGCATATTGGAAGTATAAACCTTCATAACTTAGAAACGCATCACTCAAATCAAGAAATATTTTACCAATCAACTATTTACTTCATGTAGAATCGGTRCTGAAAGTATTGTCGAAGGGTTCATTTGCACTTTAACATAGCTGCATTGAAAACAAAGCCAAATATAATAAATTGTCATCAAAAATAATAATACATATTATAAAAAATACAAGATGATTGATACCATTTTAATTTGAACTTATATTAAATTAAATATTAAATGAAACCATTGAAAACAAAAGGAATAGATGTGTTTAGTGCTATTTAGTTTTTGTACTAGCATTGTTAATTCATTTATTTGTTGATTTGTTTAAATTTACAAAAATGTAAAAATCTTGGTTTATTTTTTATATTGTCTTTCTTTTTTCTCCCTTTTAGCATTTTCCTGTGAGCCAGGAAACTACCTTGACATAAACAGTGCAAAGCTTGAGTGCAAAAAGTGCCCTGTTGGTCATTACAGTGTTGGTGGTGGAGTTCGTTTTACCAACTGGGATAAGCTTCCTGCTGGCTTTGAGTCTCATTCATCGGAAATGCAGTATCGAAATTATGGCTATGACAATGAGTTTTCAAAGTCAAAAGGAGCTAACTGTTCAGAGTAAGAATATGTGTCGATAGTCAAACTAAGAAAACTGTGAACACCAAAAATATGGCTGGAATGTTCACTAGTATTCTAAATCTAATACATTTACCACGTACCCCTGGGTGGACGGCGTAATGCCTAACAGGGGGCTTTGCAACCCTATTGATAAGGCAACCAATAGATCAAATTAGAATTTTGTTCTAAGTAGATTTTTGTGGTATTGTTTTTTGCCAATCACATGCAAGAGCTTCTAGCCACTAAAGTCATTATCACGGAACTAGATTGATCATTTCAACCTATGAATTTATATACCTGTATTTTAGGTGTTCATGGTTTTCTTAGCTTAGTAGTAAATTGCAGCCAGGAGTCGTGTATATGAATTTTTTACCTGTTTTCTGACTTTTTTAAATGCTTACACATATAAAAATGTTTAAATCACTGATCACTGATCTTATCAGTATAATGTTTACATGTGTAGAAAATTTTGTAGTAGCTTGGGCACTGTTTGATCTAAGAATATGTAAATTCACCTTTTCAGGGCTATCACATGGTATATATCGGGTTGGATTGCGTTACAGTCGCTAAAAAGATCGGACATTGTTCTTGAATTCCTGTACAAATGTCCTGACTTTTAAACAAATTATTTACTTGGTTTGTTTATCTGTTTCTCTAAGTAGTAGTAAGAAAAGCTTCAATCAAGTTATCAAAATGATATTTTGCTTGTATTTATGAAGTTATTACTCAACAAATGAAGTAAATAATTTGTCGGTACATTTGTGCCCAAATCCAAGAACAATGTCCAAACTTTTTGGGGATCGTAATACAATCCATGGCTAGCGCCGAAGGGGGCAATTGATGATTAAATTAATTGTTCAAAGAATATGGTAAAATGCTACAACCGGATGCCCAGAAATCCCATGGGAAAAGAGAGGGTTTAAACTCACAAATGAATGCATTATTCTAGGACTGGATGGCTGGCTCTTGGAGATAGTATTGCTACAACAGGAGATGGATGTACAGCACAGCTCTCCTATGCTGTAACAGTAAGTTAGATCTTATTATTTTCCCTCGAGAATAAGATTATTTGTTCGGGTTGTATCCATATTCATGTGTCTTCTGATGCATGCGCAATGTCAAGGAAAGAAATGGTACTTTAGGAAATGACACATTGGTCTCAAATGGGAAAACATTGCATCAAGATGAATTAGGTTTATTATTGGAATAAGTATATTTATTAGTGAAATGAAAGATGAGAGGTAAAAGAGAAAGAACTCATTATAAGCGATGGAGCCCATTACCCAATATATTTTCAATATTTTTTGTGGTATTGTTGTCTTAAAATCGTAATTAGTTTCGTATTGTAATTCTAAAGAATTTAACACACAAAGGAGGAAAAACCTTTTCTCTGATTAAAGCTGAAAATTCTCCTTACAAGTGCGCATTATGGCACAAGCAACAAGCATAAGAATTTGACATGCACACACTCAAGCTTTCCTTTTCGTTGCGTGTTAGCTAAACAAGAACCTTAATTTTGAAATGACAATACCACAAAATATTGTCATGTCAAAAATATAAGAAACTTTTTTAGTGAATCGCGATACTGTTTTGTATTCGTTCTTAATATTTATTAGTCATATAGAGGCTTTGCACCATCACATGATGGTAGCCATGTTAGATGGTCAGGAACAATACAATCGTTTTACATGGGAAAGAATTTGATTCCTGAGAACACAGGGATTTTATTGTTCTGCCATCTAACCACAGGCAGTCCAAGCTGTATTATGGGCCTGGGCATGTGATACTGGTGCAAATTGTCCTCTATTTGTCTATTAATATTATTTTAATTATTTCAAATGCTGATTATTTTGTTTTCTTGTAGTTGAAGAGAGATGGACATGTGAAGTTCAAGTACCACTTTACAGATAGAATTTACACTATTTTCAAAGTCTTTGTAAGTAAACAATTTCCACACTAAATAAAATATTATTTTATTTTTACCAATTTATTTGGGCAAGGAAATGAAACAAGAGAAAAGAAAAATTGAATAAGAGCTCAAAAGAAATTGTGGTAACGATGTGGTACCACATCAAACCATTTTATGCAACCAAAACAGCCCAATTTATGCATCTGTCAATCAAAGAGGTAAGAACCAAGACACTTGGAAAATTTGTTGATGGAGCAGCTAAAAAGCCCAAACGACTTAGCATGAGTTGAAGCCAGTTTTATCTGGTTGTCTAATAATATCTGGTACTAATAATATCTGGTGCTAAAATCTGGTACTAATTTTCAAAATTATTTTGAAAATTAGCACCAGACAAAACACAGGGGATGATCATAAATAAATGATAGTTGGAGCATGAATTTCATTTGTTACATTTCGATTGCAGCTTCGTAATGATCAGTGCAGATCATCAGTCTCAACAAGTGACATTTACCCACGAAACACTTTAGACAATCAATGGCTTGAAAAAAAGGTTGGTAGTTGTTTCTAGAAACTGTTGCATGATTTTGTTGCTAACAGAAAATTTCTAGTATAAATAAGAAAAGAATAATATTATTGTAGGCAGGTGTACAATGATGTCATTATTTGTTTTCAGTTCTAATGGTTGATTAGTTATTATTATTAGTGTCAACCAAAAATCTTTTGGATGCACTAATTTCAATAAAGTTAGTCACCTGAAAAGCTAGAAAGCTGTTGATAACTGTTGATGGACTTGAGATCTTCTACCAGTTACAAGTTGACCTCCTCTGAGCATCCTCAACTGTTGCAGTTTGTGTCAAAAGCTTTACTTATTGGATATAAAGCATTTCCCCATGATTCTTAGCAATCACAGCTTTCTAGGTTTTTGGTGACTAACTATATTGAAATAAGTATATACAGTAAATCAACAAAGCAAAGTGACAAAACCCTTTTTTTTCTTCAATCATTGGTGCATTAACATGACAGTGGCATTATGTCTATAAACATTACATTCATCTATTTCGATAAATGTTTTTACTAGATTGAGCTGAAGGCTGGCCGCAATCTGATTACCTGGGAGGTTAGTGCTATCACAGGGTATGGTAGTAGCCATGAGAAGAGAGACCCTGTCTACATCAGTGAGATTGAAGTGCAAGGTAGGCATTTAAATTTGGATTATAGTAATGCAGTTCACACAAGAGACATTGACACTGCTTGCTCACATTTTCTTTTGTTTTTCTTATTTCAACCACATCATGAAGATGGCTACGTACTGTAGGCTGAAAGCTTGGCAAAATAAATATAAAAGCCAGTAGGGCAAAGAAGGAAATTGCAAATTGAAGCAAATTCCTACTTCAACTTCTGGTTTTTCTTTTACATTTATTGTTGCCAAACTTTCAACCTACAGTACAATGCTATCTTCATGGTAGACTCAAAATAAGAAAAAACACAAAAACAAACAAACAAACAGCATAAGATCATGGGCATTATGAGCGTGAAAAAAAATATGATCAAATGAATGATTCTAGAGAATTAACCATTAGAGTGCTGATGATGGGGCATAGGGATTCCTTCTCTAGTTCATTAATTATCGTTAATTATCTCTTGGTTCACACCAGTACCTAATATTACCGTCTAGCTTAATCTAGTCTCATTTAGGGTATGAATGTTTTCTAACAACTAAAAATCAATATTAATGAATTGATGTTGTCTCTGTGTTCCTAGGCGTTGCATATACTTCAGAATGCCAGATGTGTGAACCTGGTACCTTTGCTGAAAAAGAAGGATCTGGATTGTAAGGGTTCATGATTTTTGTGTTTGTACGACTGTCTTGTTTTTGTAATAGATATTCTAGAGCCTGTTCCATGGCCTTTAACCTTTTGACAAATTTATTGCGACTACTACAGATCTCACCGAACTGTGATGACACATCAAAAATTTGTCTCGCTACCACACCCTAATTTGTCCACTGACATGCTTACCTTTGTCACTGTCTGGGATCTAGCATACTGTAACAAAAGTAGACGTGACTAAAAAAGGAAAGTGAAGTGCTAATGAACTTTATGAATTAGTTTTTTTGTATGAGCCATTGATGTATTTACATACAGGTGTAGTAATATTGATGTTGTCAGTTGATATTTAGTTTTAGTATTGATATTGTATTGTATAGTAATGTTTTTTAACTTTTTTCTAACCAAGCTGCGAAGTCTGTCCAAAAAATACCTTTTCAAGCATTGGTTCTTCAAAGTGTTCCAAGTGTAATGAAGTGACTGAATTTTCAGGTAACGTTAAATTTGTTTGCTGGCTTGACAATGAAATTTGCACAGGAACCTATTCTCTGCTACAAATTCACACCTTAATTTACTTTCTGTATTTTGGACAATGTCACACTTTCTATATCTGGTTTACTGTCATTTTTGATAATCTGCGAACTCGGTAATTGTCTGCTGCCAATCAAAAATAATCAGTTAGTACTTCTAGATCTCATAATCTTGACTGGCGGGAGTGAAAAACCAATTTCACAACAAGCCGTTGAAATGTAGGAGTTCTCAAAATATTGAAAACTACAGTAAAGCTGCAAGTCTAGCTGACAGTGCCTTGCACATGACTTTTTTCATCACTAGCCCTTGGGCTATACTAGAGAGACAACCCCTAGTCTGAACAGCTACTGGGCCATTGGCTAGTGATTCTCAAGTTTTACTAGCTCAGAGCCAGAGGCAAATTTTTACTAGTCATGGATTAATATATTACCGATAAGATCGAGCACTGTTAGCAATGCTATTCTTATTTATATTCAGTGGCAATTTTTTAGTCAAATCCTCAGAGTCATGATAATAGATTTATAGGTCCAATTGTTTCGAATCCATCATCCCATATTTTTCTTAGTTGTTCCTGCATAGGGTTTTGTTTTTCTTTCTTTGCAAACATTATCATTATATAAGTATTCACCAATTCCACTAGGGCGTAATGCTTTGCCCATTTCAGACCATGTGTCAATCCCTCAAGAATAAGTTTCTTTGTTTGAGTTGTGTCTATATTATTCATGTGTCTTCTCATGTTTAATCGATAAACAAAGAAGTGATACTCTAGGGAATGACATGTGGTCTGAAATGGGAAAACAGTGGATAAGGTCTATTCCAACAGATTTTAACCTCTGTTATTTTTTTAGTCTCTGGCTCAGCCAATTGCACAGAAAGAAAACCATGCACCCAACAAGACTATTACGATTCAAGAAGTGCCTGTGACAACGACCACAAAACACAGATCAAATATCAGTGGATTGAACCAAAGATCTGCCGTGATGATGTCAAAGGTGCTGTAAAACTGCCAGCATCAGGTGCTAAAGAAGACTGCCCTCCATGTAATCCTGGTATGAGGATGAACGGCACAGAGTGTATCTTCTGCCCAGCAAACCATTACAGTGATGGAAAACAAGGCAAGTTATTTAAAGCCATTAATTTTAATGTATAAAATTAAAATTCTAAAGGTAAAGATGTAAAGGCTCTTTTCAATGTTGGTGTTCCTTCACACACACAGTATATTTTCAGCCCAGTAGTATCTGACTTTCCAAGGACTGCAACAATGCACACTTTACCCTCCCTTTCCATCAGTGCTCTGTTTTAAGGATATTCAAAACTGAAGCTCTATGGGTTAGAGAAAAGTCAATTGTGTAGTTCCAGAAATCATCCATACCCACCCCACAGAGGAATTTGGAATTTCCAAGGGGTGAGGGGGTCAGAGAAAGAACAAAATTACAGAGTTTGTATGGAAGAAAATTGGAATTCCCCGGGGTTGGGAGGTGTCTTAAAAACATTCCTCCGTGAGGGGGTATGGATAATTTTTGAAACTACACATTAAAACATAGGTGGAGATCCTGAGGATGGAACCTACAGCTCCAAAGGCTGTGCAGTAACCAACCAGGAGCTACGCCTGCTGCTTACCCTTACCAATAAATGTTTATACTGAGAGAAATATAACTGCTGAATACACAAAGTTAATTTTACTATCGAATGATAATAATAATATACATTTTTAGACACGCATCTCAAAATCTTGATGCGTTTAAATCATTATAACTAAATCTTTACTCCTTGAGACCACATTAAATCATTAAAAAAATTAACTACTTAAATTAACCATAATCCATTGTCAGCATTGGTGGCACGCATCCCTTCCCATGATAATAAACTTTAGACGAAAGGCGTGGATGTTGATTGACATGACATGTTGATTGACATGCATGTTGATTGACATGACACTAAAGACAGTAAGACCAAATATTTAGTCAAAGTCAACCAAAATGGCAGCTATATATGACAACATAAAAAAATATGCACCCTAAGAATATTTTGATATGATTATCCCATGGTTTCATTCACTCATTCTTCCATTCATTCTCTTTAGTAAACGTGAAAGGAAAATCAAATAAACCAAAAACTTGTTAGTAATCAAAAATAGGCATGCTAAGTATATTTAGTGTCAGTATCTGACACACTTTAGGTATTTGTTTAAATTTGCATGCCCAAATACCCACACAGCACACTGAAAAAGATCCTTGGCCTCAGATCAACACATAGATCTGTAAATTTTTTTCAAAAATCGTACATTGTCATGATTCTTTATCATAACAGTCCAGACCGGATGCCACTAAGTTTGCACAATTCAAGATTACGAGAATGAGAAACAGCCAGGGAAACAATTGAAAAAGCCCACTTCTGCACATGTACATATTTTCTGGATCGTTCCAAACAGTGACATTATATGATCAATTTTTGTATCATTCAGATTGTAAAGCCTGTGCAGTCTCAACTTCTGCTGTCTATGGATTCGATCTCAAGTGGTGGAGAAATATCCCACCTCATATGAGAGCTTCGTGCTTTTCAATTTCAGGTGAGTGTTGCAAGTTTACAGAAAATATATATGTTCATGTTCTGAAGTTTTGTCTTTGAAGGTTCATAGTTAGTGTTATTCGTGGTTTCTAAGGATTCTAGGTTTTATTCAGAGGTTTTTTGTGACGATAAAGGATTCAAAATGTAGATATCAGGGTCAAGTCATTTGGGTGCACATCAAACTAGAGACTCGTAGACTTTTTGTTTTAAACTCTTGATCAACTTCATACAAAGTGTTTGAGTGCTTTGTGAGAGCACTCGCCTCATCTATGTAACCTGGGGACAATTCCCGAGTCCCCTAGGCTCAGTGTCATATATATGTGAGTAGAGTTGTTTGTTGGTTCTCTCCTGTGCTTCAAGGGTTTTTCTCTGGGTTTTTTTGTTTCCCCACTCCACAGAAATCTCTTAATTTCATTCCAGTTCAATAATGTAACAAGGGCCACAGGTTTGTTAGCCACTGGCTATTATAAGTGCTACCCTTGTCACATCAAGAAATTTTTTTAGAGGAAGGATTGTTTAATAGCTTTGTACTACATGTAACTTTTATTTTTTAAGACCGTGGATGTACCAATCGTCAAGGCTGGCAGCCTCAAGGTAATTTCATAAGCAGTGGCATCAACCATGGTGATGACGTCTACCTGGTACTCACACTCACAACAAAAGGATTTGGAGCTCCTCAGTCTAAGAGAGGCACATTTGGAGAGATCAGCTTTACTTTTGAATTGGTCTGTCAAGGAGATTGTGTTTTTAGGTTCAAGCAGGTAAGATATGGAACATTTTGTTTGTCAGTGTTTCACCTACTCTTCAGCACGTACTCTTCAGCACCTCACACTCTGAATGGTTGACACCTATGCTGTATTAGTGAACAGAGCATGGTGTGATGATGCCATTTGCACATGCAGTTAACTTTTTCCAAAGAAGCATACTAAGAAAAAAGCATTGAAAACTATTGAAAATCTATTTTTTAATTCTAATGAAATATATATAAATGCTGATTGTCATATGCCATTCAGTAATACAGTTCTTAGGAAGATGCAAAACACTCAAGAAGTGTAGAAGGCACTTTCCAGCTTGTGCTTCTTTTCACACTTCTTTCATGCTTACCAGTATGACCAGTACACTTCCTGTTTTTGCATTACTGAACATATGTGTAAAACTCAAAGCTGCCATTAATTTTATAGACCTGCTTAGAACTTATGATACGATGGAGGGGGGAGGGGAGGGGGGCACGTTTGTACATATTTTCATTGATTGAGGAGTGAGATTAATCAATAGCTCTATTACAGCATTTCCATTTTTTCTTGAATTGTAGAATCAGTTATACAAAGGACAAACCCAAATTGAGACCTGGAAAGGGGAACACACAAAGACAAAATATCGGTAAGTTATGATTTTTCTCTTTATGCCCAAAACTTTTGCTTGTGTGGGATTCTGTGAGACCAAACTTTACTGTCCAATGCTCCCATCACAGATAAAAATAAAAATGTGTTGCTATTATTTCTTAAAACAAAAACAAAATGAAAAAACACCATTAATTTGTGTGTTTCTTCAGTATAGAGCTTTTATGCGTAAAGTCAATGGAATTATGGAAAAACGACTTCCGGAAAGCAGTTAAATAAAGATTTTTCATACTTTTTCTTCATGACGGTTTTTTTAGTACAAAATTAATGCTTGCTGCTCAGTACAGTTTATTGTGAGCAAAAAAAGCTTTTTTCCTAACATTATTTCATAATTTAACAACTTCATCAGTTTTATTAGTGATTCCTAACTAGCTTGCTCCCTATTTTAGATACTTCATAACATCCCAAAGCAAAGTCACCTTCAAATGGACCTTCCAAAAAGTACCGTCGGAGTTTGATTTGGATGGCATGACACAGAACTATCCAAATGACAGGTATGTGCTAAATGCATGAGGATTCCTTAAAGTGCAAATGAAYCCTTTGACAATACTTTCAGTACTGGTTCTGCATAAAGTAAATAGTTGATTGGTAAAATATTTYTTGATTTGAGTGATGCGTCTCTAAGTTATGAAGGTTTTTTAAACTGACCTCTTCCTCTTACATTTTTTTAATGTGTTTTTTTATTTACAATAACATGCATTTATTAATATTTAGAAAAAAATTTGCTATTGCTGTTGCTCGTTTTTCTTTTCTATTTTTTCCTTCTTTTACACGCTCATATATTGAATTCTCAAGTGTATAATACTCCTTGAAAATTATCATTTTAGTCGTTGAATACTCCTTGAAGACTCAGCTCAAACACCAAACTTTGCATGAGCTGTATGCATTGAAAACAATAGATTATCATGGCTTCTTTGATGTTATTAGGTTCTGGCTCAAGTGAAGTTTGACAGTTATATTCAGCCTAACTCATAAAGTAACCTTGAGTCTTTTTTTTTATAGAGTAATAATTCATTCCATTAATGTAACCAATACCATCGATGGTGGAGCAGCTAAATGCAAGAGCTGTCCTGTTACTTCCAATTCAAACTCTGGGTAAGTAGTGATAATATTCATTAGTTATTATAATTATATTAGAAATGATGCATCCGGAAATAGCCCTAATGGTATCACAACTTTAGCACAGGATTGGTTGCCCTGGGAAACAAAGTGGTGACTCTTAAAACTCCATGCCAGCGGAGTGCATGCAGGCTTAGCCTCGAATCTAGGATTTGCTTAAGTCTTGTTATTCTCATTTCTGCTTTTGTTTTCTGACCTCAGAAGTTCAAGTTTTAAGAGTTGTCAATAAACAAGCATGCAAACAACCCTTTCTATTGCCTACTTTTATATGTTACATTATTCTGTTTAATTTCATTTAACATAATAATAATTTTATTATTGTTAAATATATAATTTTTTTTAAATTCATTTTTGAAAACAGTTGCGTGGCATGCCCAAGTGGTTACTATATTGACGAGAAACAAAAGAAGTGCGTTGCGTGCCCAAAAAGTGAGTAAAGTACAAAGCCATTCAATGATTATTTTTTCTTTTATTCTGGGACGCACGAGTGGTGTAGTGGTAAGAGAGCTTGCCTCTCACCAAGGCCACCAAGGTTTGATTCCCAGACCATGTCGTATGTGAACAGAAAACCTTTGCATGTTGGTTCTCTCCTTTGCTTCAAGGGTTTTTCTCTTGGTTCTTCTCCCTCCCCAAAAATCAACTCCTGAATTTTTCCAATTGCAATTCAGTGTATGAAGAGCCACTCTGTGGAAATGTTGCTGATAAATTCCATTTATTTATTTTTTATTTCTTAGTCAAAAATTAAAAGAAAAACTAATTTTAAAATCAAGAAACCTATAGGCTTTTTTTTGTTAACCAAAGCAAACTATTCATATTGTTCAAATTACAGACACCTATCTTGATGTTGCTAATCCCTATGGACTCAAGGCTTGCAAGCCCTGTGGTCCAGGTCTTATAAGGTAAGAACAGCATTTACCTTTTTATGAAATAGGTTTATATACATGTATGATTTTTGGAAATCCTTGGTGTCCGCCCTACGTGCCACAAATGCGTAAAGGATGATGATGTATGATTATATTATGAAAACTAAGAATTTGAGATCAGTGTTTCTTTATTTTCTTTCAAGTGATGAAGCGTCAACATCTTGTCACTCTAACTGTAAGTTCATGTCAAAGAAGCACAGCAGAGAATTTGATTTCTCAGAGCTACAAGGGTAAGCCACTGTTATTGTTTACTTGAGCCTTCACAAACACTTATTATTGGTTGTGGATCCATGGGTATGGGGATTTTAAGAGGTTGGAAATTGGTGCAATGTACCTTGAAGGACATCCTGTGTCCTATTGTGCAGCACCCCAGCCTGAGGGCAAATATCAAATAAATAGATAAATGAAATAAAAGGTAATAAAATGTTTAGGAGCATCTTTAATTGACTGATCTAGAAGGGATAATAAGATATCAATTTATTGTTTACTTGAACCTTCACAAACTCTTATTATTGGTTGTGGAAATTGGTGCAATGTACCTTGAAGGACACCCTGTGTCCTATTGTACAGCACCCCAGCCTGAGGGCAAAAATCAAATAAATAGATAAATGAAATAAAATGTAATAAAATGTTTAGGAGCATTTTTGATTGACTGATCTAGTAGGGATAAGCAATTCCTTTAGGGTTATTTCTTTTTTCCTCACAACCCATTGGCCAAGAATCTTAATAAGTATTATATATTAATTATCAGTTTTAAAAATTCACCAAAATCAAATAAATCAATTTATCATATGACCCATATCTGCCCGGGCGCACGCTCAAAAAAAACCTTCGGGAAAATGGCGTGAGCAGGCCATGCAGCTTTGAGCGAGCAGGGCTGTACAAATCCGTACAGCCCTGCTTGAAACTGGCGACTTTCTTTTATTTTATTATCTTTCTTTTCATGAGGGTCATAATTATGACAAAATGCTTATTGACTGAGTTAGGTCCGGCTGTATGGGAAAATATTTGTAAATATCTTTCCGTGCGGCCCTCACACTCGAAAATATAAACAAACCACAGCCAATATTTTTGGACAGCATTCAGATTAATATTAATGTATAAATATCAATTTTTGTCATCATTTTAGACAAACTACTGTGAGAGCAGCACCATCATTCACCACCCGAGGATCACGTTACTTCCATGTATTCAGGCTAAACCTCTGTGGACACCCTTATAAGGAAGCCATCTGCCATAGTAACATCAGCGTTAACACAGCAGAGAAGGTACCTCTATTTTTTTTCATTTTTATGCTTTCTCCCTTTATTAGAGTAACTGAGGTCACCTATCCACAAACTTATTAGGTTGCTATTCACCTCACGTCCAAGGACACAATGAATAAAGGTGGCAAATGAAGTCCACTATAAATTTACAATTTAATATTAATGCTATATACAGTCCCCAGCAGAGTCTCTCTTTCTCTCCCTTCTTTCAGGTGGGGAGGAAGGAGACTCTGCTGATGTAGAGTGTTTCCTTTGATACACCGCCGTCCACGATCATGGACGAACAAAACCAGTTTTAAAACCGGTTTTTAACCGATTACATGTAGTGCGCAGAAGCAAATGTGACACACCGTGGCGCCAAACATTGTTTGACGAGAGCGGCGTGACAGAAATAACGTCCTACATCGGCAGAGTCAATTTTTTTCTCAACCAAAACAAAAGGAAAATAGGCTCTGCTAGCAGGGAATATATACAGATACAAAAAAAGCAAGAATATTAAACCAATTCAATATTTCATTGTGTTTCCACCTTTAATATCAGGAAAACTTCAACTTATCATCAAGTGTTTGTCGCTTCACACTGATTCCTAACCGACAAGGAGAACCATTGGCAGCCCAGCCTATTAGGTAATCGAGTGAACAACAAATATTCTGTCTGATAAATAATTTGTTAGAAATATTGAAAACTTGGTTTGAAAACATTTAAGTTTTATAGTCTAAATTTTGTTTAGGAAAAAAGGTTATAATTATTCTTATTTGTCATAGATTTTCTCATTGGAGAGAATGCATATAAGTGTATAATACTCCGGTCTTGAGTTCTCTATCATTTTCCTTTTTTTTTTTTTTTGCATATTTGAAAATTTGTTATCATTGATCATTTACATTATTCCAGACTTGGAGAAGAGCTTGGTGGGATCTATGAAGATAGTGTTCATGTGAATGAGACTTCTGCATTTGAAGATGAAGGTATTTGAAATAATTCAACTCACAGAATTTCCTTGCTTTCCCCTTACTTGGTCTCTTTTAGCTTATGACATTATGCAAACAAAACAAAAACAAAAAAACGTGGCACAGTGCTCATATAATAGAGACAGAAGTTTTGTAGCAATGCTTGAGAAGCCAAATGAATGCACTAATTGACATTGCCATGAGAAAATTAAGTGTTTTAAGACTCCTTCTCCCCTCAGGAAAAGCTATAATAATAGTGGACGTACCTAGGTCAGGCAGCATTTGTATTACAACTCTCTTCTGCAACTGGCTAGATATTTTTTGGCGTTACACTTGGAACATAACTTTAATAGTAGGTTGTTGTTTTAATTGACAATCATTGTTTTTTTTTATAGGTCTGATAACAAACATCTCAACTTACTTCTCGTATCACTACCATTCGCACAGGTAAGTGTATAACATACTGATATTGATATGTATTCATGGTGAAGCTATAAATGAGGTCTAGACATGTGACAATCAATGTGGTATACAGTCATTCCTTAAAGAATAAAAGTGGTTATGTAGTAACTTAAAAGTAGTTTTCTTTTGAGTGGAACTTTAACATAAATATATAATGACATAAATATGTAATATGACATTTTAATAACATTGACATGGCTTTCCATTGTCTTCCCAAAGACCATTCAATAGGATGTATGCATGATGGTGTCATTGACCTCTACTACCAGACTCCCTTGCACACTTTCTTTTGTTCATTTAATTAGCACCAATTACTATTCTCATGAGGGAATACAAATTTAAATAAGAAAGAAATCTCCCCAAGCATAATGGTAGTGGGAATCAAATGACGCCATCATGCAAATGTCCTATTGCAATTCATAGTTATGGCCACTTTTATTAATATATGGTACTGGTAATAGTACAGCTACAGTGCATTTGAACAAAATTCCTTTATTTCTCTCTCTGAACAAATTTCCTTTTATTTCTCACTCTTATGAAAACTCCATGGTACTCACTATTTTGTTTGCAATGCAATGATCAGTTCTACCTTCATCTATTTTCCTTGTTGCTCCATCTGATTTATATCTTGAAATATTCATATTTTGACTTTCTTTCTCCAAGGCCAACCGGTGCATGTAAGAATGGTAGGACCGTGTTTGTCACTTTACTTTGTGATCACACAGCTCCTGAAAAGGTCAGTCTTATGTCATATGTAACTAGTAAATTGAAAAAGATTATGAAAATTTCAAATTTGTTTACTACTGCAATGAGGATTTTTGAAAAAAGAAACTTTCTTGATTTTTTCCCCAGGGTGTTATTCAACTTCCAGCAAAATGCCCTGATGGTACTTGTGATGGCTGCAAGTAAGTGTTATTTATCTGATTTACTGATTAGTTGTTGCAAACAGTGTTCTATTCAAACTTTATATCACTTTGGATGCAGTTGTAGTACACTCACCTCTCACCTCTCACCTCCGGAGTCTCGGGTTTGATTGATCACAAGTCATGCACATGTGAATCGAGTTTGTTTGGTGTCTCCCTTGATTTAAGGGTTTTTCTCTGGATTCTCTCCCTCCTCAAAACCGAACCTGCTAAATTCCAAATTTGATATGTGAGTTAGTTGTGTCTTCACTTTGATCAGCCCAGAACCTGAGGATTTTTCAAGGGGTTTTACAAAGGGTTATTAACAAGAGTTTATTCATATTTTCTAGATTTCAGTTCTTGTGGCGCACTAAATATGCTTGTCCCAAGTGCTCTGTTGCAGACTACAAGAAAGTCATGGGAGCTTGTGTGGTAAGCATTAAAAAATCTGCATCAAACTTCTTTTACTAGGTATTTATTGGTTTTGTTATGTTCTTATTTCTTTTACAGCAAGGTGGGACAAAAACAACTAGTTATATGTGGAAACAACCAAGGTAAAAACAAAAATCTTTATGTTCTCATTTCAATGATCTTCAGGCTTATCCTTCACATAGTAGAATACTACTTAGGGGCGGATCCAGGAATTTGTTAGGGGGTGTCCCAAATGAAGAAATAAATATAGAGATACATGAAAAGCATTAGAGTAATTACGGCATTAGGGGGAGGGGTGTCCGATGCACCACAGGACACCCCTGGATCTGCCCCTACTACTAGAAAACATGAAACCTGGCTCCAGGGAGCCCAATTTATTTTTAAAAAATAAAAGGTACTCTGATAAAATCAGAGTATTCTCATTTTCACCATTCAATTTTAACTAAATTGCGCTCCCTTTTGTTCCTCAATCCTCTTGATGGATCCATTTTTCCATCGTTTTCTCATTCCTCCTGATTGCTTGATTTTGCAGGATTTGCCGTGATGGTGTAACCCTACCAGAAGAGTTCAAAGAGAAATGCAGCATCCTTGACCAGACGGTTGCCTCGGCTATGAAAGACTTCAAGGTACTGAGCTGCATTTGAAATATGTTGCAAACAGTCGACTTTTCTGATAATCGTTTCTGAAAGATCCCACAATATATTTTTTTACTGAGAAGAATTTAAAAAAAAAAAATTAGTTGTAAATATACAGTAACTTTGTGCTTTTGTGTATTAGATTGGTATTGGTATTGCTGCCTTGCTAGCTGTTTTGCTGGTCTGTTCTGTGTGTTTCCTTTACTTCAAGAACAGAAAGTAAGTTGACCCATGACTGTGAAAATATCATGATAAATAATTCATAGTATGGTGGCAATTATAACCATGGGAGGGGTCACAGTGCCCTTAAACCTTTTATCATTCAATCAGAATATATCCTTTAAGCTTGGATTTGTTTACCCATTTTAGACCACATATCATTCTCTTGAGAATAAGATTCTTTGTTTGAGTTGTATTTAATATTCTTGTCTTCTAATGTGCAACTGTTAAAAAAAAGAAATAATACTCTGGGTGATGATGGGATCTTAATTGGAAAAATGATGTGCCCAACCTGTAAGAGTCTACCGTGCATCGTTTTACGGTCTTTACCCTGTCCGTTCTAGAAAGGGAGGGAGGGAGGGAGGGAGAGAGGGAGGGAATGAACTGGGGTGTAAAGTCTTCACTGCCAATTATAATTTTTGCCACCCCTGCTTTTGCATAGTCCATCCGTTATATTCCATCTCCATGTGATGCTTACATGTCAATTGTTACCCCATTTTACAGACTTACCTACAAGTACCATCGTCTTGTGGGTAATGGCACAGGTCACCCAGATGAACTGCCGGCTGTGGAAAAATGTGGAATGGATGATGATGAGGAAGATGAAGATGAGGAGGTGTGTATTCATCTTGTTTCTTTTGCCTTTGTGTTTTATTGTCATCGCTATTTTGATTTTTCTTCGTGCCTTTTTCCCCTCTCCTTTTTTCCTATCGACTTTTTCTTGTAACCAGCATGAAATATCCCCAATTTTTTGAGATAGCAAATATGGTGCATTGTGGTCTGGCTTGGGTACAAACATCTTTTGTTCATCATGTGACCATAGTGCACCATGTTCGCTCTGTCCCTGCTATTATTCCGTGACCTTTTGGCAACTAATATTTTTGGACATTTTACAGATTCATTTCAGGCGTGGTGCTAAAGATCGTGGTAAGAAACTTCTGAAGAGTCTGCGTGGACTGACCAAGAGCAAAAAGGTGAGTGTTCTGGTGTACAAACGCCCTAGGACAAATCCTAAAGTGCAAAATGTCTTATATGCGACTTTTATAGCCGGGGCAAACGTACCGAGTTGTATCAGAAGTTTATAACTAGTTATGAACTTCTGGTCGTATGCATGTAACATCAGGGGCAAATTACCATTCTCGTGCAGTCTAGGTTTCTGATTGGCTACTACCCAAAGTTGGAATGCATTGTTTTCATTCTACATTTTAATTGGTTCTCTTGTCTAACTGGTCTGTATGGCCCCGGTTACAATAGTTGCACTGTAATTGCTCATGCATTTGTGGGCCGGAATGGGATGGGATCAATGTCAATCACTGTTGCAAGTACAGCAGCGATGCAGCTCAACGGGGTCGAACTGAAGGCAATGTGAATAGAAGGGAATGGATGGGATGGGATGGGACAGTGGCGTAACCAGGGATCTTGCAGGGGAGGTGCACAGGCAAAGATTTGCAGAACCAAAAAAAAAAGGTGACCCCCCCCCCCCCCCAAAAGCAGGACCATAAAAAAAAAGTGATGCAGATGGAAAGTGGTTTCCATTTAATCAAAAAACATTTACATGCAATTTTAAAGCAAGAGATGAGCAGACCATAAGCTTTGATGGGGGGGGGGGGGGTGCACGTGCACCCTGTGCTCCCCCATGGTTAAGGTCCTGTGGGAGAGAATAGATTAAAACAAAAAGGAATAGAATAGATTGGAGCGAAATGAAAAGGAATAGGATAATAAGATCGATGACATATTAATGGCATAATCCCCTTAAATACAAACCTTACTTTAATGTTTATTGTCCTAGGACAAAGTGACCTTCGATGACGAAGACGATGGTGGTGACGAAGAGTTCTTTGAATCTGTTCAACTCGAGGCCGTCAAGGAACCACTCAAAGAAAGGTTTTAAACTGGATCCATCTACAGCAGTCTTGCCTTGATTCCAGGCACGACTACCACCATAACCGACTGGCTCTAGAACTTCCTACCCAGTCCCTGTATTCTTTAGTAGTATAAATTAACAATTTTAAAAGTAGTCTAACAAGTAGAATTAATAGGAACCTTTAAATGAAAAACTAGTTTTGCTTTTAAGTCGATCATTTTCGGATCAAGTATGGAAAAACTGTTAAGACTTACTAATACGTTTTTACTTCGATCCATAACCACGTTTGACAAGATGTCGGAAAGAGAAAGGACTAACGTTAGTAAACTAGTGTTAGCCCAGAAGTAGGTGCTGTATATGAAACACAGATTTTATATGAGTAGAAAACCTCTATGACTCCCATCCCTTTGAAATGGCTTTCCAGTTTCAAATAGTATGCATTGGTTATATTTATAAATGCAGTGACAATCCAACTCTAATCTTAAGACGCAAAGGCCTAGTTGGGAAGCGATATGAGAGTGACAAAAAAGAATAAAGTATGGTGAGAAATCTGTCATCATATCTGCAGGTATTAGTATAATTTTTCTTCTCGTGCATACAGATTTCCTAAAGTCAAAGTATTGAGTTGATTGCGGTTTCTAGTATGCTAAAAAATATCGAAAAACGTTTTTTAATCTCATGTTAAAAAAAACTCAAAACTAACACTGATGATAATCATCGTCAAGCTGAATAATATGATATACATTTGTTGCTTCAAGCTCAGTGGAAGTCGGTCATTGAGAAGGTCTTTGCCCGATGGGAAAGCTTATTAAGATACGAGTCGAAGGCAAAAATTTTCACATATGGATCACCTAAAAATAAGTTAATCCTATCACTTCCGATTAAAATTCCAAAATTAACTTAAGAAAAAACCGAAGGCTCCGACCAAGATATATATATATTCCTTTGCAAAAATTCATTGTCGACACATTTGAAATGCAACAAATGTAAAATCTGATGCCATATTTATTATTATCTGGTGGATACGAATTCCTGATATATCATCATAATCATTGTTACGTTACTATATTTACAGTTCATTAATGAATGTTACAGCCATCCCAAACACACGCGTTGCTCTAGCGATTGTTTCTGTCGCGACGAAGAAGCTTTTGGTGGACGTCAATCAAGGCGTTTCCATGACATTCTATAGGCACGTGCCCTTATAGCTTTGTGTTTTCCGACAATGTTAATGGAAACGCCTTGTGATTGACGTCCACCAAAACCTTCTTCGTGGCGACAGAAACAATCGCTAGAGGGCGCGTGTGATTGAGAACGGGTGTAACCGTTTAGAAATATATTTGTTCCCATTTGGGACACGGAGTCAGGGGTGTGTCCTGGAATGTATTTCCCTAATTCAATACCAATAAGCAGTTAATTGTAAGATAATATTGTCACTATTATTATCAATGTTTCTTTGATTGCTATAGATGGCCTCGAAAAGGAACACTTGCATTTAACAGAACGTTTAGATTTTCTCTTCAGTATATAATTCACTATGAATATAGTCGATTGTTGATTTTCTTATATGGTGCTCAGTATTTTGTGTTTAAAGGAAATTTAGAAAAAAAAGTATTGATCAAGTTTGCGTGCTTGCACCACGGAGGTTCTTGCAGTTACCAAAAATCGGACACACCCATTTTTTGGCTTCCCTTTTACTGAGATAACCTTAGGCTGAGAGAAAAAATAATTGCAAAATATTCCATACTTTGTTATTTCTTTAGCGGAAATGCGTTCCTAAAGTAAAGCTGTTTCTTAAGGCATTGTAATGCCCTTCTAGAGTCATGGGTCATCCTTTTGCTGTCTAAGGCCCCGTCAACACGTATCCGGAAATTTTTGTATCCGCAAATTATTTTTTTGCGGATACGAAAATGTTTGCGTCCACACGCAGCGTATTCGAATCGTTTTCACCGTCTACACGTATCCGTTTTCGTAAAATTTGAGGATACGGACACAAAAATTTGCGGACACGTGTGGACGCAACCCGTATCCGCAAAAAAATTGCGGATACAAAAATTTCCGGATACGTGTGGACGGGGCCTTGACGTAGAAGAGACTTTAAAAAAAAGAGTGGTTTTAGTTACTCATGAAATGATAGTCCTTCAGCCTAACAGTGATATAAGCAAAAGGTAATATTACATTGTTTTCTTTTGGCTATTAGAAGTTTTCCATCAAATATCGTTTCAGGGTATCAATAATCTTCCTAACCACAGAAGGTCCTGACTGAAAAGAAGTAAAGCAATTGTGATATCTGTAAAATACCTCAAAATATTTGCAATAAATGTCAACTACTCCTAATAACAGACATAGTTTACTTGACTCTGATTTATACACCTTTAGGCAGTCATAGGCCCCGTCCACACGTATCCGCAAATTTTTTTTGTGGATACGGGTTGCGTCCACACGTGTCCGCAAATTTTTGTGTCCGTATCCGCAAATTTTACGAAAACGGATACGTGTGGACGGTGAAAACGATTCGATTACGCTGCGTGTTGACGCAAACATTTTCGTATCCGCAAAAAATGATTTGCGGATACGTGTGAACGGGGCCATAGCCTACACTGGAAGCCCTATTACATCGAGCTATCACTTATAGCTTGGTCAAGCAGTCTCAATCAGGTTATCGAACAACATAAGTCACCATGTTTTCGTGCATTAAAGCTTCCTAGAGCCAAAAACAGCGCGCCATAACCATTGTAAAGGTTGCGCTCTTCCTTTCCCTCCACAATACGCAACTCATCTTTGCACCTCTAGGGAGGTAGTTCCGTATCGTACCATGACGAACTGCGGTCCCCGTTTCGAGAAAGATCTCTGCGAATGCTTTCTTTCTTCTCTGCGCGCTTTTCTTCTCCGATCCCTCCCTCAGTCGTTTACCCCGGTCAACCATTTACATCAGAAATTAATGTCTCATTTCCAACTACGTCCATCTACATATCTGCACAATCACTTATGCCTATTTTATGACTAAGGTTATCGGAGCCAATCACTTATGCCTATTTTATGACTAAGGTTATCGGAGCCAAAGGCAATAAGAAATGGCATCCCAAGATTAGAATAGCAGGAATGACTAGTGTTCTGCGTCTCTTCAAGAAGCCCTCCAATTTCCTGCTAAACAAATGATTGTTGCCCCCTCTCCTGCCCCCTCCCTACTTTCGTCACCCTCATCGATCCCATTTGCACCAGCTTTTTACCGTTTCCTGAGTGTTGAAGTTGCTAGCTTGAAGTCTTCAAAGTTTTGTATTTAGATGTATGCCCATTACCGGCATTTCGTTCTCGAAATGCCCTATCGCCAATCTCTTCTTTTACACCAGCCTGGGGCTGCCTACGGCATGGACATAAATTTTATATTGGGTTCCCTGTGTCGTTGTAGGAACGCCTGTCGATAACTGCTTTTCCACAAAATGGCGTTGTGCAATAAACCTGTACCTAAAAAGATAAAAACCGAAAAAATCGATGACTACCCAGTGGATCTTGTAAAAAGCTTTCGAGATCTAAATGATGCTAATTACGACACACAGCTAAACGGACTCAGAGAGACTCCAAATAGTTTACATTGTTGGATTTGTGGCGTTGAAAAAAATATCAAGACTTTAACGATAAAAGATTTTGATATTTTCGATGATGGGCTTCGAGGACATCAACTATGTGGACTTCGATGTGATAGAGAGAAACCCCATTTTGTTGGTTTAAAAGTCGCTGGAAGATGGTGGAATATTGAAGAAATTTTATCATCTGAGAGCAATCCAAGGTAGGCTAATTTATGAGACAAATTTTACACGTTGTACAATATGTAATTTATTAAAAATCATTAAATCGTCTATAAGTTAAGTTTCTTAGGTGTTTTCAATATCCCTTGATTCAAGGGATTATTTCTGGTCTTCCTCTTTCCATAAACTAGTATGCTAAATTCCAATATTGTCACTGAACGGAACTGTAAAATCGAGTATTCAATCTATAAGTTGTCATTGGTTGCTGTTATGTCCTTTGAATCTGTTGAATCTTGAATCAAGTTGTCGTATTCTAACTGTTTAAAATATTGTTTATGCCATATATAGGAATGGATTGATGGAAATCAAGACACTTGGTGATAGACTGTTGCTTTCTGTTCTCAATACGATAGTTTACAATCAGCATGAAAAAGCATCTGAAGAACCAATGTTTGAATCTCATCCTCCTAACGAGGCCGGGAAAATCATGTGGCAGTCTGGAAAAGCAGTAGGGTTTTATACAGTCAAAAAGAAAGGTAAACTAATCTCTCACTTCTTGCCAGAAGTCTGGGAGATGAACATGCTGGATACGATTTTTGTGAGAAAAGACTACCGCTCCAAAGGCCTTGCAAAACATATGGTTGAAGATTTCATTGATGATTTCCCTAAGGAATATATTGGATTCTCGTATCCTTTGACAGTACCATTGACATCTATTTGTTTCAATATATTAAAGAGAAGAAAGGAAGATAGGGATAGGGTTTGGGAATGTAGAGAACCAGGTGGAATGCATGGTAGGATTAATTTATGGAGGTCTTTAAAAGCTGATAAAATGTTGAAGTCTTCTTGAAGTGTTTCTGTAAGTTAATTTTTGGAGGGACAAGATACATGGGTACATGAGAGAGGAAAAGGGAGAGGGAGAGGGAGAGGGAGAGGGGAAAGGAGAGGGAGAGGGGGAAGGAGAAGGAGAGTTGACAGTGTGAAATATGCCATCATGATTTGAAAACCCTCATAAAATAAATAAGAATTGTTTTACAATTCTTTTATGATTTTTTTTCAATATAGAAATAATTTACAAAATGATGTTATAAAATGGTTGATCTATACTTATAACTATATTGAGGTGTTCATTTTGACACAACTACTCATTTTAAGGGGATAGGGTCACGTTACCAGGATGTAAAAATGATAATGATAATAACACTTTATTTACTGAGGATGTAACAGGTTTAAGCTAAACTTTTTTCAAACCTGGTCCAAAAAAATGGTGTTACTACTTCATGTAAGACTACATGGATTGGCACTATTCTGTAATAAAGTTTAAGGTTTTTTTTGAGTTAATTAAGGTTAGGGTTAGGATTTGGGTTAGGGTTTCAGGACTTTATAAACAATTTATAGATAATCGAATAGTGCAATTTCATATAGTCTTACATGAAGTAATAATCAAAAATGGATTATGATAATTATTATTAACATAATGATCAATTGACATGTCACTGAGACGTCGACATTGGCTGATATATTTGTGTTCAGCTGTATATAATCATTTTTTGAATTTGTATCTTTTAATTGAAGACACTATTTATATTACTCACACATAATACAACATTCTATGAATGTTGCTCTCAACTCATCTACTGAGTCTTATAGGAATAACTGTAGCAACCATTGATTGGTTGGTTGCCTGTGCTTTATGAGAGCACACAGCCACGCTGACTATTTCTATTTCATCTTTCATATACTAAATAACAGCTATTCTAATTTGTATTTTATAAAAGAAATTTTAAAAATTGCTTGCCATGCTGTGTGCACAGCTTAGAAAACACTTGAGAAATTGCAGAACACTCGAGAATTGTTGACAAACACTCTGCTACATGTTGTGCTTTTTCTAACGCTTCTAGAATGTTTTCCCGATTCCTGTGTTATAACTGCATGCATATCTGTATGCATTTTCTATCTATTCGTTATAGACAGGAAAACTGAAAACAAATGCCCTCATGGCAAGGGAAAGAGATATATATGATATTTAAAAATTATTTGCATTTATGACCTTTTATTATTCAATCTCGGTAATCAATAGTATGAAATTACCAATCATCACTCAAATTAGCTTGAGTTGAACGTTTTCCCAATTCAGATACTATTGTGCAGAGTATCATTTCTTTGTTTAACAGTAGGACATGAGAAGACACATGAATATAGATACCACTCAAACAAAGAATCTTATTCTCCAGAGAATGACATGTGGTCTGAAATGGGAAAGCTTTGTTCCCAAGCTAAAGAAGTATATTCCTTTCATAAGTCTTTATTTAATTACAGATACTCATCCAACAAAAAGAAATATGATTCAATATTTTTAATAAATGAATAAAAACTATTTTACAATGCAATTTTTTTATCATTAGAGTGCATACCATATATATCCTTAAAGAACTTTGTAAGAATATGCACAAATTTGCACAAATTGATAAGTTCATTAGACCTCAGTAGACTGTAGACCTACAAAACTTTGCAGTAATTTGTACAATTTTGCCAGTTAACCTTTTCCAAGATATATGGTATGCACTCTACTAGATCTAAACTATCTTATTCCTATATTTCACATTCCTTTATTATTATTATTATTTATTCCTAAACTATTTCTATTGCTAATCCTATATTTCATTTCCTATTTCTATTTCCTATTCTATTCCTATTCTGACTCCTATCTCCTATGACCACTAGCATCCCTCTAGTAATCTATATGTCCTAAGAGTGCTTTGTTGTGGTTCATAGGCAGGCTGCAGCCATTGGTGCTGCATGAGCTGTTGTAAGCTCACTCTATCAGCAGGATCTCTCCGTAGCATCATACCAATAAACTCAAAGAGATCTGAGGGGAAAAAAACAATAATCAACAAGGTCTGATTGAGACAAGAGTAGTCGTAAGATGTTGTGTTAAACCTGTTTGTATTCAACAGCCCATCCCAATCTGGAGGCATTAATACTAACTTACTTACAAATCACTCATGATTGTAAGCTGCACGGCTGCTACTAGCACCTAAATACACAACCCGTAAAGTCCTCCACTGGTCATGATGGTGAAGCGCATTGAGACCATGTAAAATGCGCTAAATAAGAACCCCGTTTTTTTTTTTTTTATTCGGAGTAAGTTTACAACAACTGTAATCTGAACTAGATGCCAAGGTTGGGCTTAGAAGCATGTGACCAAGTGTCACGCAACTTGTCAAAGTAGTGACAGGAGAAGCTTACCTTCTGAGAAATGCTGTGATAGGCGTGCAGACTTTGTGGCTGCCTGTTCAGCATTGTTAAAAGGGGTTGCACCCATCAGCAGGTCATACAAGAAGCAACCAAGGGACCAAATGGTTGCCTTGCGACCGTCGTATTGACCATCGGTGTGGAATTCTGGGGGACAAAAGTGTGGAGTCCCTGTGAATGGAAGTAAAAAATATTTGTTAACTTGACTAGTTTGGAGGATTACTGTATCTAAACATTAGGAAGTGGCATTGTTGTTGGGAATTCCCCTTGACTCTTCCTTCACGTTGGAATTTTTTATGCACGTGGCAATTTGGCGATGCAGACAAAACGTCACAATTCTAGCTTTTGATGTTAACGAATGAATATGGCGTGCTCACTTCTTTGATATGCGTCGCTTGTCACGCACAAAGGTTTCAGTACAACCTGCGTGACAAGCGAAGGATATCTCGAAATTAGGCTATTGCGCTCTTCTGAGGAACGATCTAAAGTGCGCAGCGGTGCTGGGGACATTCCAGATACGTTTAATTTGCGCTTCGCTTAAAAACTTTTCTTGGTTTGAGAAGGGAGGCGATTTATCGGGAATCTGTTGAATCTGCCATAGGGCGCGTCGCTAGGTTACGAGTTAAAAAATCCAGTCTCCTTACCCGAGAAACTTTTGATTGGTTCTTCACTGACGTGAGTCGCAAGACCAAAGTCAATCAACTTGACTCTCCCACCGTCAGTGATATCCATCAGGATATTTTCAGACTTAATGTCGTTATGCAAAATGCCTCGCTCGTCAAGATGCATGACCGCCTCCAACACCTCGCGGAATATGGGTCTCGCTTCATCCTCGGACAAAACTTCACCGAAGGCGTTGAGGAAGTCGAACAAGTCGACGCATTTGTTTGGTCTCTCTGTAATAACCACGAAGTGATGGTCAAAGTAATGGTGCTCAAGGAACTTAATGGTGTTGGGGTGGTTCACTTGTCGTTGGAAGTAAACCTCGGCTGGAACACGTCGGATCGGTCCATCCTGAAAGCAAAATGAATATCGGAATGATCTGGCTATTACTAACAAATCTGAGTGAATAATTTACGCGCGCAAAGGCGTTTCTGTATTAATTCTACCAAGGTGACTAATTATATTGATTGCGCATTATAGATATCCTCATGTTCTGGTTATCCATAAGTTAGAACCAAGGGAGAACATGAGATCCTAAAAAATATATTCTTAACCGGGTAACGGAGAGTGGACGACCGATTAGCAAGGGTTGGATTACCCCGCATGGGACACCCATACCACCTACAGATAACTCGTGCCACCTAATACATACCACACACGGTCAACTCAAAGACCACGGTCCACCCAAAAACCACTCAAAAACGACCCATGACACCCAAAAACCACTCAAATGCCACCCAGGTTCGCATTTCATGTTCAAATCGTCCACAAATTTTCTTGAGGGCCGCTTTTTTAAAAACTTAATATATCTCTGCATGGAACTAACCTGGATTAGTTTCGCTTTCTTGAGTGGAATGTACTTAATAGCGACAGGAAGCCCGTCCTTTTTCCTAATTCCAGCATACACCTTACCAAAAGCACCCTCGCCTATGATGTCCTCTTGAGAGAACCTCCGAAAAAACATGCGTTTTCTCGATTCTGAGGCTGTAAGGAAAGAAAAGATCAATGCTGTCAACACAACTGTTTTTATATTGATAAAATAGTTCAACCTCTAAAAACAGCAGTTTTATCGAGCCGGGGGGGGGGGGGATCTGGGCTGATGTAAGTGTGTTACAATGCACATGCACTTTCAATAGCATATTGATAAAATAGTTTAACAGCCATTTATCGACCTCTCCGTAATAAAGCTTCTGGACTAGATTTAATATAAGTGTGCTTGCAACAATGCACAGATTGACGCTTTGCGTTTCGCGAAGGGTGTAGAGAGAGAGAGAAGCAGTCTCACCTCTACAGGCTCTGATAATTCTTCTTTGTTTGATATCATTTTCAGGCGTAGCAACTTTGTTTTGTTGCGTTTCTTCGTTGCCTGTGTTAACATTCTGAGGTTGAATGTTCTTTTCAGCCTGAGGTCTTGTACAAGTGTTGGTGGCTGGGAAAGCCTCACACTTTTGGAGGGAAAACCAACAGAAAAATCATGAATAACTGAAAGGCTAGTTAGCTAACCCCATAGTTATGCGATGTAACGTTAACTAGCGCAATAAGCAAACCGAATTTTCTGTCGATTCTTCCAAAACGAAGATTTTATAATCATAAATAATAAACTTCACTGTTTGTAAAAAGCAAATAACAAATAAGATCATGATCTTTTTATTTGGGAAAGAAATCTTTTAATTGTGGCTTCTGCGCAAACATGTTTAGAGTATATGACATATATCCGTGAAAAAGTTATAAACTAACAAAATTGTACAAATTAGTGCACAGTTTTGTAGATCTATTGTCTACTGAACTTACTAATTTGTGCAATGTCTTGCAAAGTTTTTCAATAAATATATGGCATGTACTCTACTGCACAAAACTCCAGATTAAAGCGCTAAACATTTTAGCTTACCTTGGATTGACCTGGCTGGGATTTCACTACCACTTTTTCAGGCGATTCATGTTCATGAGAACGTTGTTCTTGTAACTCACTCAAACGCCTTTTAAGGCTGAATAAATGAAAATAAAATAGAGAGTTGACAAACCGTGAAGATTATGCATTTTGGATTTCAACTTGACGAGGTTGGATTTGAACATGCTTTGGCGCGTAAATTCAAACAAAACTTGTAAAAATATCGCAGAATGACTAAATATTACACAAGATTTTCAGAACCAAATCTAAAACACGTGACTTTTGATAAGTACTTACGTAGTTTTTTGCACTTGCGACATTTTTTGTTTCAAATTTCGTATTAAAACCGTTAGCAGTATTTTTCAACGTCTTTCTTGTACAAACGACAGTGAAAAATGTTGTGCGTTGTCAAGGCGATGGCCTTTTATTTACTGCTCGCGTCAGCTTCCAATCTCACGCAAGACTCCAACACGATGCGGTTTCTTTAGCAACACTCTTCTAGCGCGCGCACTGTGTTGAATGCTCTCTCCCTGGCCCCCTCCGTTTTTGCGCGATGTGGGTGTCAAAGCTCACGAAGCATTCTGGGCAACCTAGTCTTGAAAAAAAAACCTACCGTAAAATCGATCAAAGGAACAACTTTAAAAAATCACTCTGTCATTCTTTTCTGCTGGAATACTAACATTTCTATTAAGAAATGTCTTAGGTAAAAAACGAGATTTTTAGATGAGCCGAAAAAGCGCAAGCACTTGGTTTCCCATCATGCTTTGCAGCGTGCTAGAAATTTGTGCGCGTGCGCATTGGCTAATGTTATCCGTGGGAGAAAGGGAATGCACAGGATAAGAATATTTCTTAAATTACAGCTCCGGCATTTATTAGAGGTTTCAGCGAGAAACAAGCTTTTATATTGAAAGGAAAAGGAAAAAATATTTTTCTGTTTAACACTGGTTTCTTTGGTACGCGCTGTTCAAGAGAAAGCGTCGCAACGTCAAAAGAGCACATTTTGAAAGAAAGAAAAAAGAAAGAAAAGAAAATTAGCTGAAAGAAAGACTGAAGGAAGGAACGAAATATCAAACGGGAGTAGGGTGATGGGCCGAGCCATGCAAAAAAAATTTTTTTCAAATTAAAAAAATAATTCTTTCTGAGAAGGGGCTTAAATATGCATACTGCATTGTCGGTTAGGAATGCAATTATTATATTAATTCACAGTCTTACACGCATTCAAGAAGTTTTTGATAATATTAAAAGGAGGTCCCATATATTTATTATGCTACAACCAATTCCACAGGAAACCCAAGCCAAAAATATGTCGCCTCGATGTGATGTTAAATGGACCAAAAGCGCGGGAAAACTTGATCACGTGAAAGAATCAGCCGGTCGATCGAAGCAAGCAAGGAAAGCATGGCGGTGAGTATTGGTTGTTTTATTAAGATTTTACCCCTTTATTCATCTAAACAACGAGATTTTTACTATCTGAACCATCCCTTCATAGTATTTCTCTAGTTCTGTGAAAAAAGTTTTGAGATCGGTTGAAGTTTGGACGTATTTTTATCCAAGCTTCGTGTGACATATTTGTCTACCATGCAGTTTGACGAGCTTGATAAACACGTTCAAACCTTATAAAATAAAAATCTCTCTGCTTTATTCACCCGTTATTAATGCTTATACAGAAACCACTAATGTATTTGTAGCTGAATCGCTTTTTAAATGAAATTAGTACTTTTTAGAGCAGATATCCTATTAAAAATATAAGTAAATGTACACGAGCTCAATGCAAATTAGTAGCTAATTCTCGTATGTTCGTTTCGTTTTATTAGCTGAAATAAGATTTATTTTCAAAAAAAGATGTTTACTTGTACAAGCTGTGCAACAGAATACTTAGTTTTTACATGTGTAGATTTTATTTGAAGTTGATTTAAATCCTGGTTTTTTTTTTACCTTCTACGACGTAGATCAAAGAAAATTTCGATATAATGCTATAAATTGATTTGTTAGATTTTCATAACCTGATCGCGAAAACATCGTGGGCCTAGATGCATGTCTCAAGGTACTAAAATCATTGGAGAAAGAAAAGAAAATTGTCTCTTTAAGAAACTGGTTTTTTTTTTCAGTTAACGTTTCACATTTTTTATAAATATTTCTTGTACAATTTGTTCAAGATTGACCAGAAATATTGATCTGTTTTTTTTCTAACTTTACTGTAATTTCTCACATTTTTATTGTGGAAACGTTCCATGCAAATTAGGCCTATGTTTGCCCATACTGTACATCTTGTATTACATCAGTATTCAGGGACAAGTTAAAAAAAATTCAGTGTTTTAACTTTTCAATGAACTTGTATTGCAAGTGACAATGATGTACAAAGTTGGTGTCAGAAATTTGTTAACCCATCAACAGAGCTTAGGGAATCTTCTTTCTATAATACTTTATTGATAATGAATTGCTTATCATCTTATTTAGCAGATATTTTAGTTATACAGTATAACAAATAACTATTGTTTAATATTATATATTACCAACATTTTTTAGGATCAATCATCTAGCAGTATTGGGATAGCCAGCAGTCCACCACGGACTGATGGACTGACTTCAAGTCCAGCAAGAGATCTACCTCCTTTTGAAGATGAAACTGATGCTGTTCTTGGTAACGAGGGAAGTGGAATTGAAGAGGAAGATGGAGAAGAGCTTTTTGGGGACAGAATGGAGGAGTAAGTATTGACTGAAGCAACATCTGTGCTGATCTAAGTCAGGGCATGGCGAACTCACAGATTGAACTTTGAAACAACCTCTGTGCTGATCAGTGTTAGGGTAATGTTAACTTATAGAACAATCCCTGAAACAATGTAATGGATAACTTCTCAATGCACTTCTGGTTCCACTTAAGCTTTAAACATTTTAAGATTCTATCTATGATCAATAAGAGGACCGTCAATGGTAATCTATGAGCGATTTTAAAAAAAATGAAATCAAAAAATTGTCAAAAAAAAGGAAAAATCATTAAAAACAAGCAAGGTTTCAAGTGCATGCTGGATCAATGTGCAAGCAATTCATCCTTCTGTGTCTGTCCTCTTATTGATTATGGCTGTCAGCCAATTAGATTGCAAGATTACAATCTGTTATTGTAGAAAAAAACTACTCTAAATGAATTATTTTACCTCAGCGACTATCGAGTCATACCTGCACTGGACACATATGATCCAGCAGCTCTTGATGATGAAGATTATGATGAGTTGGCCCCTGATCAAAGAGCAGCTGCTGAAAGAGCAATGAGAAAAAGAGATCGTGATGAGGCAGCAGCAACAGGACGACTTAGGAGAGGAATTCTTTATGGTAAGCAACACTCTTATTTCACTAAATGCCTTATTTGTTTTATTGATGAGTAAATAAGAAGGAAGGAAAATTTTAAGTCAAAGTCAAAGTTTATTTACCCCATATTTGAATATCTTTGAATAATATAATTACCATTTCTAAAGAATAATATTAATATAATAACTAAATTAATTATTAAAAAAAAAAAGATATGATAATAATATTAAGGGGCACTGACAACCTGAAATAACCATGAGGGGTAAACAAAACTCGGCAGTTTCCTAAGTTTCTTCTTTAACTAAATGCCTTGTAAAAAGGTTTGGGACTCTAACAGAAGAAAAAATTCCAGTAAAAGGATGACCAATAGACCTAATCTGTCTTGGTGCAGTGTTTACCCATTTCAGAACACATGTAATTCCCTTTAGAATAAGATTTTTTGTTTGAGTTGTATCCATGTTAAATCTAGATTAGTAGATTTTTCTTCTAATAGACAGCAGTTAAGCAAAGAAACTTTAATACTCTTGGGAATGGCACGTGGTCGGAAATGGGAAAACATTACACCTAATAGTAATTATGTCACATGAAACAGCATGTCAAAACATCACAACAAAGAGAACCAAATATAATAATTGAATGCCAGTGCCTAAAGAATGATTGAATCTCAATTATATAAGTTTTATGATATAAGATGTAAATATAATTTATAGAAACACTATGTATTTATTGCAGATGAAGAGGATGATGATGAAGGTCGTCCCTCAAGGAGAAGAAGAATTGCTGAACGAGCTGCAGAAGGAGATTTCCAAGATGAAGATGAGGTAGAAAATAATCTGCACCAAATTCTTACTATCTTGAACCAGTTACTGTACCTTCAAATAAGACCTCATAATAGACCTCTCTGTCTTGGGCGTAATTTTTTTTATTTTCGAACACTTGTTATTCCCTAGGGTATCATTTTTTTGTTCAATGGATAAATGAATATGGACACGACTCCAACAAAAATTATTTTTCTCAAGAGAATGCATCCGCTACACATCATGCTTCTCCTAACACTTCTCTCATGTTCTGCCAACCCTCGCGTGCTTTTTAACTGCACACAGCACACACGCACATATTTTTATTAGACCTTTCCCTCAAACCAGTCAGTCATTTTATCTGACTTCTGTTCTTGTTATTTTTTTCCTTTCATTTACAAGGCAATTGAGAGCATAGAGAATCTCGAAGACATGAAGGGTCATTCAGTGCGGGAATGGGTATCCATGGCAGCACCGCGACTTGAGATCAAGAACAGATTCAAACAGTTTTTAAGAACATTCGTTGATGACCAGGGTCACAGTGTCTATAGGGAGAAAATCAAACAGATGTGTGAAGGTATGGATTTATATGTGCCATTTATCTTTGTTTCTAATACAACAACAGACATTAACTTTCATAGCATTCAAATCCTCCTTATTTTACAAGGGTAGCACTTAATAGTGGCTAACAAAAATGTGGTCTTCATTCCATAATAAATTAAAACTTAGAAGTTGTTATTTGTGAAGGAGGAAAACTGAAATACAGCACACAAGAGAACCAACAAACAACTCTAAAAACTCACACATGATAACAAGGTGTGGCATAAGCAGCATGCAGCATCATTGCCTCTCATATATTTAGAGTGTGTAGAAAAATTTTTCCGCTGCTCTGATTTATAAAAAGACAACCTTAGATATCTTTATAACTGGCCTAATTTTTTCTTTTCTCTTTCTCTTTCACAGCAAATAAACAAAGCCTTGTAATCAATTATAATATTCTTGCCAACGAGCAACAGGTCTTGGCCTACTTTCTTCCTGAAGCACCATCAGAAATGTTACAGATATTTGACGAGGTATGTGATATTACTGTGCTCTTTATATCTGGACATCACTTCAAAGTGTCCAGACATGCAAGGCTTCATTACATTTACTGAATTCAACCGTTACTGGTTCACACAAACAGTTAAATTTTTATAAAATGTCATTATTTTACTCATGTTTTACTTGAAAGTTATTTTAAATTGCAAGCCAATTTGAAAGATTTACTCATTTTCTTCTCTCCATTGTCATTGTTTGCACTACTTAACAAATGAGCACAACAAACTTTCCTTCATCTAGGATATTTTGTATTTTGCAGGCAGCCAAAGAAGTGGTTCTTGCTATGTTTCCAAATTATGATCGTATCACATCGGACATCTATGTTAGAATAGAAGACTTGCCCTTAATGGAGGAATTGCGCTCATTGCGGTAAAGTATTCGTTAATTCTAATAGGGTTTAAAACTCGTGGGGGTGGATGGTGGAAAGCCTTACAGGTTTTATAATCCAATAGCGCAGCGCAACCGTGATGTCATAAAAACAAAGACAAAGGCGAAATTCGGACAAACAAACTTACAAGTTTACTTTCAGCAGATAATTTTCACAGCTGATCGCAGTTGATCTTAGTTTACATGGGTTATTATTGTAACTTTAAGTAAAAATAATAAAATCGGTTCATATAATCCTCGTAGCAGTTAAACAGAATGCAATGTTAGAATCAGTGTGCTGCGCTATTGACATGGTAGCCAATAGATCAAATTAGAATTTAGAAGTTGATTTTTTATGAGGGAAGAAAAACCAGAGAACTCTGAGAAAAAAATACTAGAAGCACAAAAAGAAGAACCAACAAAACCAAGCCCAGGAATCATATTGTTTATATCATATTCGTAGTCATTTTATGGGGGAAAAGCTGATCCAACATGGAATGTTGATAACAATTTGAATCCTAATTTTTTACAGGCAACTTCATGTCAATCAGTTGATTCGCACCTGTGGAGTCGTAACGAGCAGTACTGGCATCATGCCACAGCTTAGTGTCATCAAGTATGATTGTCCCAAGTGCTCATACATTATTGGGCCATTTTTCCAGAGTTCTGACCAGGAGGTTAAGCCTGGCTCGTGTCCAGAATGTCAGTCACGTGGGCCCTTTGATATTAACATGGAACAGGTATGATAATATATAATTTTAATCTTTATTTTGCGCCGCAATATAGGGAGTAATTATGGAGTCACCCTAGCCAGGCTAGAGCAGTTTTCGTATGACTGTGAAAAGCTCGGTGCTGCATGCGTGCCTTGCTGCTACTGTGATGTTTTCTAGCATTTTGAATGGCTGATTTTTTTCTCACGCAATTTGGTTGGTCTGGCAGTGCTGTGACTTTGGTGTGATTTTGTCAGCGCTGTGTTCATGCTGTGTTTCAGGCATTTGATTGGATGAGGAGTAAATTCTCGCGTGATGTGATTGGTTTGGCGTATGCCTTGGCGTGTCACCACCATGTTGAGCTTTTAACAGTCATATGAAAACTGCTCTAATGTCTAAATATATAACACAATCCATACTCACTACAAACTACAACTTGCCTTTTTTCTTATGGAATCTTTTCCCTTGGATTTGTTGTAGACCTTGTACAAAAACTATCAGAAAATTAAGATTCAGGAGAGTCCAAGCAAAGTTGCTGCCGGTCGTCTACCAAGATACAAAGATGTGGTTCTCACTGCAGACCTCGTTGACAGCTGTAAACCTGGAGATGAAATAGTATGTGTAGAAATATTGAATTAATTCATATCATATTATATTGCTTGGATGGTATGTGGGCTCTGATTGGTCAAAAACGGTGCTGATATTAGTGAACAGAGCACAGTGTTATTGACAAGATGTGTAAGAAAACAACAAAATAATGAAAAATGCTGGGGGTTTTTTTTTTTTCTGTGAAAGTTCAAATTCAGAGAGTGAGTGCAGAAAAAGGACAGGAGCATTTGAGATACTCTAAACTAAAATGGTAGTTTGACCAATCAGAGCATGCAAAAGAACTTAGTTATTTGAAAAACCAACATACAACAGCTTTTATCTGTGCTCTATTCAGTAATATAACAATTAGGAAGCACAGAATTTACCCAAGAAATGTCTTTTCTTCCCACCTTTTTTGTGCTTTTGTCACTTCCTGCTGTATTACTGAATGAAACACAGAAAAACCAATTTCTTAAATATTAAAATTTTATTCTCTTCGTATTACTATAGGAACTGACAGGAATCTACAAAATCAACTATGACACTTCCTTGAACCGATCCAATGGTTTCCCAGTATTTGCCACTCTCATTGAAGCAAACTACATCACAAAACAAGATGACAAAATGGCTGTGACAAGCCTGACTGATGAAGACGTTAAAGCCATAATTGACTTATCTAAGGATGAGAGAATAGGTGAAAGGGTAAGAAAGAAAATAGTTTATTTTTTCTGGTTTATATCCTAAAAAAATTGAGTTTGATGGTGTTGATTGAGATAGTGTTTATTAAAGTGCTACCACAACGAAAATTGCTCAAACTTGGATTCAGCTGAAACTTCCTAAGAATACTCTTCAAAGGTCCAATAATCACTGTATGAAGTGTTTTCTCGATATTCAGGATGAAAGAATGATATTTTTACGATTATTTTTTGGAGTCTGTGACGTCATACACTCAACATCGAACATCGCTCCATAAATTTCTTTGTAGTTTATGATCAAAATATCTGTAGTAAAGGGAGAAAGAAATACCCAAACACCCCAAAATATAAATTATAGTCACAAGTAATGTGAAATAAGCACATTAGCCACCCTTTGGGCTTCACAGGAATAAAATAAATTAAGGATTTATATACAAAGAAATATATGTAGCAATGTTTGATGTTGAGTGTATGACGTCACAGACTCCAAAAAATAATCGTAAAAATATCATACTTTGTACTGAATATCGAGAAAACACTTCATACAGTGATTATTGGACCTTTAAAGAGTATTTTTAGGAAGTTTCAGCTGAATCCAAGTTTGAGCGATTTTCGTCGTAGTAGCACTTTAAGTACAGTCCTACTGACTCACAATATAAATATTGTTCACAGATTATTGCTAGTATTGGCCCATCAATTTATGGACATCAAGACATGAAGCGAGCTCTAGCATTAGCATTATTTGGTGGAGTACCAAAAGACCCAGGTATGATAATGAATGAAGATAGGCTGTTTGCAAAGTAATTTAGATAAATAAATATTAAATAATGGGATTAACAGTGGATTCCACAGAGTGGCTCTTCTTCCACTGGATTCCAATTGGAATTTAGAAGTTGTTTTTTATGGAGGGAGGAAAACTGGACAATTTGGAAAACCCTCGAAGCACAGGAGAGAACCAACTAGCAACTTTCCTCACATGCAACACCGAGCCTGGTGGGACTTGAACCTGTGTGGTATTGGTGAGAGGCGAGTGCTTTTACCACTAGGACACCCTTGCTACCCAAGAAAAAAGGTCAAAAATCACAGGTCAAAAATGTTTCATTTTGTTTAAGGTGGCAAACACAAGATCCGTGGTGACATCAATGTGTTAATGTGTGGTGATCCTGGTACAGCTAAATCACAGTTCTTGAAGTATGTAGAGAAAGCTGCACAGCGTGCTGTCTTTACGACGGGACAGGGAGCTTCAGCTGTAGGATTGACAGCCTATGTGCAGAGGCATCCTGTTACTAAGGAATGGACTCTTGAAGCTGGTGCCCTCGTGCTTGCAGATAAAGGAACATGTTTGATTGATGAGTTTGACAAGGTAGGAAAACTCGATTGAATGTTTCAAATAAAATGTTTTCCATTATTAACACTTGAAGTAAACAACAATATCTCCAAACTCAAAGGCTATAGCACATATCTTTTATGACAGGATTATGAACACCCATCTTAAAATATTTATATAATAATCTGTTAAAATTCATTTTTGAAGGAAAGTTAGCCAGCTATATAAAGGCCACTACCTTGTAATTACCCCATATTGATAAAATCATGAGAGGACTTAATTTTTAAAATATTTATCTAGATGAATGATGCTGACAGAACAAGTATACATGAAGCCATGGAACAGCAGAGTATTTCTATCTCAAAGGCTGGAATAGTGACATCTTTACAGGTATTTTATATGTGAAATAACAAATTGAAAAACTTTGTTCTTAGTTTATATTTCCTAGGAACGTACCCCTCAAATATCATAACAGCTTATTCATTGCAGCAAGCATTCTATGCTGTTTGCGATTTGCCTTGCCTTAAACAAAAACTCGTGGGGCAGTTTCATTTAGTTTTTGATCACATGTTTGTTTCTCCTTCAGGCAAGATGTAGTATCATAGCTGCAGCCAATCCAATTGGAGGAAGATATGACCCATCTTTGACTTTTGCGGAGAATGTGAGTACCTGGAATTAAAACCAGTCCTTTAGAACTTTGCTATATTGTACCAACTACTAAATGTTGTATCATGGGAATTGAGTTCCTTAATGCTCTCCTATTGCACAAAATTAGACCCAAATTTTACACCAAAGCCAATAAAAAAGGCGGGGAAAAACCCATTAATATCGTCTCTTTTTTTATTAACAGGTAGACTTGACTGAGCCCATTTTATCTCGTTTTGATATTCTTTGTGTAGTCAGAGATATGGTTGATTCTGTACAAGTAAGTACAAAAAAATACTAAAGTTTAAATGAAGGAAATAGAGAGTGTTATAGTCAGGGTTTTCAATACCAGCTTGAGTAAGCAGAAAAATGTAATGTGCCAAGGGATATTATTATTCATAATAAGGTTTTAATTAACTGTTTTTGAAATGAGTTTGATTACCCACTTTCAGGATGAGTTGTTAGCTCGTTTTGTGGTGAACAGTCACGTGAAACATCATCCAAATAAAGTAACAGATGAAGATGAAGAGATGCAGGTTGGCTTTTTTTAGTTTCATTTTGATGGTCATATGTGAAGTTTTAATAAAGGAAAAAAGCAGCACTTTTATTACAATCCGTTTGTGGGGCAGGGAAAGAGAATTCATCACTCAAAGAGAAAATTTCTATTGTTTTGTCTCAAAAAATCGTCTATATTGCACACATTACATATCGTACACATATTGTACAAAACTTTACTCCTTAAAGCCCTGCTGGAATGCCTGGAACTCCTGCAATCTACCTTTACGGGTCTCATAACGTCAAGACAAACACATCACTTTAATAAATAATTCTTATACATCTTATTTATTTATTTTTTTATAATTATTTTAGGATGAGGAAAACCCTGATTTAATCCCCCAAGACTTGCTAAAGAAGTACATTATCTATGCCAAAGAACGAGTGCAACCCAAACTACACAATATGGATCAAGACAAAGTTTCTAAGATGTTTGCAGATCTCAGGAAGGAGTCCATGGTATGTAAATCTAACTGTTTTCTTGTTTACGTCAGTAGTCTGTATCTGACGTGACATCTCTTGTCAGGAATTTTATGGTATAGGCTAGGGAGTGGAAGGAAAGAAGGAAGGAAGGAAAGGAGGGAGGAGGGTGGTAGGAAGGAGGGAAGGAAAGAAGGAAGGAAGCAGGAATTTTATGGTATAGGCTAGGGAATGGAAGGAAAGAAAGAAGGAAGGAGGGAAGGAAGGAATAAAGAAGGAAGGGAGCTTAGAATTAGCAACTTAGAATTGGTCTTCAATATTATGACTCTTCCAAATTTTATGACTTTAGGCAACAGGATCTATCCCAATAACAGTACGCCATATCGAGTCGATGATTCGTATGGCAGAATCTCATGCCAAGATGCACCTCAGAGAATACGTTATGGAAGATGATGTTAACATGGCTATCAGAGTGATGCTTGAGAGTTTCATCGATACACAGAAATTCTCTGTAATGAGAGGCATGAAGAAGGTAAAAAAACCTTCAGATTTATAGAAATTTAAAACAACCCCCGCAGGGCACGGCTAACTCGCAGGTTGAGCCCTGAAACGACCACTGGGCTGATCCAAGTCAGGGCACAACTAACTCACAGATTGAAGCCTGAAACAACCTCTAGGCTGATCTCGGTCAGGGCACGTCTCACTCACAGATCAAACCCTGAAACAACCACTAGGCTTATCAAAGTCAGGGCACAGCTAACTCACAGGTTGAACCCTGAAACAACCTCTTGGCTGATCAGTGTCAGGGCACGGTTAACTCACAAATCGAATCGGAATCTAGATTGTTAGGTTTCACTTAGGGAGAAAGACTGGAGAACCCGGATAAAAACCCTCGAAACACAGGAAAGACTTAACAAACTCTACTCACATGTGATGGTGCTGACAAAAAAGTGGCAGAAAGTACAATTGTTTGAACTTTCCCTGTAACATTATGAACTTTCTCGCATTTACCAAGCTTATTTTAATAAAAGTTAATAAACGTTAAAACGTTTCCACTTTTTCTTTCAGGCATTTTCGCATTATCTAGCATTCAGACGAGACAACAACGAACTGCTTCTGTTTGTGCTCAAGCAGCTGGCTAAAGAACAGATATCTTTCTACAGATGTCGCTATCGAACAGAACCTGATATCATTGACATCCAAGAAGAGGAGTTTGTCGATAGAGTAAGTGACGTTCAATTTTTACAGCTTCCATAAATTCATCCCTGGAAATGTCGTGTTTTGTCATGCATAAGAAAATTTGCGAGGAAGGTGTTGTCGTATGTCAGTATTTCGTACATGCCGTAACATTAAAATGGCTTCCCATAAGAATGGTCATCGTAAGAGTGGGAAACGTACGGTACTGAGTTAAAGTACGTACACGGTACGACATGCTGTAGCATTGGAATGGCTTCCCATAAGGATGGTCATCGTATGAGTGGTGTGGTACTGAGTTACAGCATGTACACGGTACGTCATGCCGTAACATTGAAATAGCTTCCCATGAGAATGGTCATCGTAAGAGTGGGAAACGTACGGTACTGAGTTACAGCACGTACACGGTACGACATGCCGTAACCTTGAAATGGCTTCCCATAAGAATGGTTATCGGATGAATGGGAAACGTACGTACACGGTACGACATGCCGTAACATTCATAGCTTCCCATTAACTGGCTTCCAAAATTTATCCAACCACAAAGACGTGGTATGGCTACATGCAGTACTACTAAATTTACTGTATCATTCTTGTTCGTGGATGCGAGATTTCCGCTTAGCTTCTTTTGACATATTCTTTATTTAATCATATTTTTTTTCTTTCCAGGCTCGTCAAATCAACATCATTAACCTGGCATCCTTCTACGAGAGTCCCATGTTCACGTCCAATAGATTTATGCACGACAGAAAGAGAAAACTAATAATTCAAACCCTGTAAACAAAACTGGAAGAAGACTTGCATTCATATGAGCACTTTGGACAAGCTCTTTATACCATGAACACGACTGGCATAGGTCGTAATATCAGTTGCGACAAGTTTCCTTTAACTCTCTATAAAATGTGCAAAGCATTGCACGTAGAAACGAATCGACTACATTACGTCCTACATTACGAAAAAAATAATGCATAAGTTAACTTCATAAAAGAAAAGAGAAAATGTTTTTGGAACTCGATGTAACTTTTCAAGTATTTTTTCACGACGAACTGGAACAAAAACTATTCAAGTATATGGCGGTATACTAATGTAAATAGACAAACAACGTGTTTCGTTGTTTTGGTGCCGCGCATTTTGGTGTCTTCTGGTTTGGTCTTGTAGATATGTATGCTTTATAACTGAACTACTACACGTGAACTTTTGTATTAAAGTTGTTTAAGAAAGAACGTCTCTGCTGTGCTGAAAAATTAAAATTGTCCACTCTTAGACCATTAACATTCTAAAAGAAAAAATATATAAAGAGTTCCGAAAGACGGGGGTTTACTGTGAAACTCGGTTGCCATTTAGCTCCCACTACGTTAAAACTCATTTCAAATGAACTGACTCCAAAACGGACGGGGTTTTTCGTCGGTGATAGCGCTTCCAATTTGTCAATCAGCTAATTAATTACGCTATTGCAAATTTCCTAAAAACCAAGTTTACCCAGAAGTGGCTTTATCTCTCTTCTTGCTTGATCCCTGGCTTGACCCCATGTAACTTGACTCTTCAGTCGTCATATGCTTGGCCTTCCGCTAGCTGAAAAATCTTTATCCCTCAAATTTCAATACTTAAGAGGTCATTTCGTATTTTTTCGCTGGTAACGAACTCAACAAAAGTGCGAAACTGTTTGGTTTTGTACATCGAGGAATATTATGTACTCCGTCAAATAGATTCAGACTGGGTTTTTTCGATTTTCCATTTTTTCGCTTCGAAATTCGCAAAATCATGAAATTCTTTGGCTTTGTACACCAAGGTACCCTTCCATAACCTAACTTTTCCCTCTAAAAAACTATTTTTGATATATCATATTTGCAAAAAAACGAATATTTGATGGTTTTTTATTTTTCTAATTTCGCGGTTTTTCGCTGTTTAGAAAAACTCAACAAAATCGCGAAATTCTTTCGTTTTGCATAATAAAAATATTAATGAGGCGTTCTTGATGAGCGCATTTAAAAATCTCAATGCAGCGCTTATAAAATCGTTGTACCATGTCATAAGCTCAATTCATCGCTAAAAACCTATTAGATAGTTCTTTGCATTTAGATATTTAACAGGTTTATTTTGCATTTTTTGCTGGTTTGGAAGCCAACAAAAAACGAAATTCTTTCTGGTTTGTACACCGAGGTACCCTGGGTAATGACTGGGCAGCCTCGTTGTGATGTGGTGTGCACGCCAGGTAGCCATGTTGAATGAAGCGTTACGTTGAACGGAAAAACGACTCTACTTTGTCATGCCATAAAAACTCCCGTTTTCCTACTTCAATAAGCAAACCTTGTTGATTTGAAAGATAAATACATCATCTACTTAACTGCCACTCCTTGGTGTATGAAATTTTCGCGTTAAAGAATTACACGCTCGTAAAGATTCATTTGTGGTTGTGAACTTCATCTTCGCTACACATGGTTTTTGTAATCGTAGTCTACAGGAAACCGGGATTGCTGCTATAAATCCAGCATTTTTATGACAGAATGCGCAATTATTCATCAGGGGAGATATCGAGTGAGTCATTAAAGGGTTAGAAAGGATGAAGATTGATCGTTCCAAGATAAGGAAGAGCCATTCTCAACCGGTAAGATGAAGAGAAAAACCTTTCAAGTTTCTAAACGTTTGTACTTTTTCACGTCTGATTCCCTCACCAGAAAATCCATTGAAAACATCTTGTTTTTAAATAATTTAAACAGCGTGCTCCTTTTACTAAAACACCTTTTAAGCTTAGCAATGTTTAAGTTTGTAAATTGCATTTTTTTTCTAATATTTTATTCATTTTTTCTTCATTCAAGGCTCCCGAATGTCAACAGCTAATCCAAAGACTCACTAATGCCAAAGATGGTGACATAGTTGATATTTTAAAATCCGTCGACACATGGTTTTATGGCAAGGTATACTAAAGCTATTTATTAAATACACTTCATTATAAACTGTACAAAAGCTTTTCTAGGGCAAATATATTTTGCTACACATTTCATATTTGCTGTTCATTTGCATCCAGTAAAATGTTTAAATTTTTCAGAGTCCAAATTCCATCCATTCATACTATGACCAAGAGCTTATATTGATAAATCGTATCTATTATTATTAAAATGTGAGCTTTCTTTCATGAAGACGACTTCATTATTTACAGATCTGTGATGAATAAATATTGTACATTTATGTTTCATTATATATGCTATAAAATTGTAAAAACTAAAAAAATTTCTATACTGACATACTGAAATGGGAGAATGATCAACCCAAAACCAGGTTAATAGTGCTGCTATATAGTTCAGGGTCTTCTAAATTGATTTATAAGGATCATTTGCTTAAAATCAGATGTATGATTATCCTATTACGAAAGACACACTGCCAAATTGAGACAGATTACAGTTACTGTTTTGCATATTGTTTTCACATTTTGTATTTTTTTATATGATTTAAGATTGCTCTTGAAATTATTTGCCTGTTAGTTTGGATGTATTGTACATATCAATCTTAAAACAGTAAATCCATCTTAGTGGTTCGTGCCTTTTGTTTACACAGGTTTAAACTACTCTATGTTTCCATAATATTGTTTTTAAGTTTTGTGAAGGAATTTGATGATGAATTCTCTGCTAAGAAAAGAAATACCAAAATGTAACATCATTAACTTCAACTTTAAGGCTATGTGAGCTGTAGAAATGAATATATTATACATTTACAGCTGTAAGCTTCAAAAATCCCCATAAGTTTTCTGTTATTTTGCACTGGATCCAATTACCTTTGGTCCAGCACAAATAAGAGGAAATGAATTGGGATATTTTTGTTTTAATTTACCAGTATGTAGAGGAAATATGAAATTCTGGAGGGGAGTGGGGTCAGAGAAAGAACAAAATTACAGCGTTTGTATGGAAGAAAATGGGGAGTTCTAGGGGAAGGGGTGGGGGTTTTAGATAATTTCTGGAACCACGCAACATCTCATTTATTTTTTATTCTATCGCTCCAAGGTTTCGCACTATATCATATTTTTACTTGCAGTTTCTGATGTCACCAAAATCCTAAAACTCTTAAAAAATACTTTTATAGATTCATCACTTTGGTATTCTAAAAAGTCAATCCAGATTTTACCAGTCATTTTTTAAAGAATCACACTGACTGAAACAGTTTTTGCATATTTTTATGTTTGCAGTGTTAAGGAATTCTGATAACAAATGTCTTATTATTTTCTGATGTCAAGCATCCCTTGTCTGTAGATACAATTTTCCTTTATTTTTTTCATCCTTCTCAATAGCCCTTTAACCTTTGGCATTATAATTTCCCATTTCAGACCATGAGTCATTCTGCTGAGAATGAGATTCTTTGTTTTAGTTATATCCATATTCATGTCTCTTCTCATACACAACTATAAACAAAGAAATAATACTCTATGAAACATGGTCTGAAATGGAAAAACATTACGCCCAAGACAAAGGAGTATTACCATGATTTGCTTTGTGACAATAAATTTAATGTAGATTAGTATTTTTAAATACTCTATTTTCCTTTCACACATTAAATTCCCTCAGAAATACATTTGTATCAAGCTAGACATTACTAATCATTTGTTCACCCCTTTCTTTCATTCTCTTATTCCAGTGTGATCTTGGCCATTGGGCTGATGTATTGGATAGATTTGATGATATTCTTGCTAGTGTATCCAAGCAAGTCAATGGCAGTGCATGGATTCTAACATATGATAAGTTGGACATTTTGGAAGGACCAGAGGTTGCTGTAAGTATACATATTCTTGTAGTGCATGTTAAGTCATAGCTGCCATGTGGATTGACTATACAAAGCATTCCTCATGGCTGTTTCATCATGGTTGCACCCCAAAAATATAATATACATGGATGTATTTATGATTTTTTGGAAGCAGTTTTTGTTCTTCCTGGTCATAGGTTTGGTACAGGAAATACCACCATTCTAAAAGAATTCATAAAAAATACCACACATATTTGATGAAAGTGGCTTTTAATGTGTTTTTATTTTTTTATGATATTGATGATAGTTGTATTCTTTACACCTTCAGGCTGAAAAGAGAGAGTTAGTGAATCAAGTTCTAAGGTTTACTGCCCTGCTTATTGAACATGCTTACTCCAGACCTGCTTATAACTCTGCAGAGGTAAGTGTATTGCTAATTGCTAAGACTCAAGTATTGCAGCATGCAACAAATTGACTTCATTTTAACTCGTGTAGGCATTACATGCAGAAACATTGTCTTGTGAATACATCACAATGCTGCATAAACAATAGAAAAGTTTTTGCTTGAGTTTAAAATGATGCAACATATTCCTAGTATTAGTATTGTAACTATGTGAAGTTATTGGATAAATTCCTGAAAACCATGAGAAGATATTTCAATGCTATGGCATGTCCTACCATGTGCATGATACCTCCCCCTTCCCCCCCCCCCCNCCCAATACACCTCCCCCTCCCCATACAACAACTGCTCTAAAATGTAGTTAAGACAATTAAGTTAGATAAAATTATTTGTTTGTTCGTTTAGCATCTTATTGCACTGTTGGGGGCAAGTGACATGGAAGTTGTTCTTTCTGTATTGGGTCTTCTTTATGTATTCAGGTAAGAGTTAAGTGGTACAAGTACATAAATAAAGGATATTACATGACATGGATGCAGATTTTATCTTTGAGTGTTGAGTTGATATCTTGTACGTGAACACAGTGAACAAGTAAGATATTTTTTGACATGAGAAGATAAAATCCAAGCGATCATGTAATATTCCGTTCAAGTTATGATTATTGATAAAATACAATTTTAGTGGATTTTTACTAATTAATGCCATTCCTATATAAGAATTTATCAATGATTATACAGTCAATTCAAAAAATGTTGTCGTCGACCAACTCAAGCCTACGCGACTGGACCGAAAGGAACTCTGGGTAGTAATCATTGAAGCCGAATTGACTCCATAATTTTATCTGACTAGTTATGCCTGGTTTACAGCACGAACCTTCGTAGGCGAGCGGGAAGTGTTGAAGGAGACATTCATTAATGTCTTCATATTTTCGAAATTGTGAACTGAATCATAACTACTTTGTTTTTCTTTCACTAAACCCAAAGACATGCATTTGAAGGATTGTTTCTCACCATTATTATCTTATAACTAGCGGGAACAATTAATTCAGAACGAATATTTAACCGCTTCATTGGTTTTTACCCATATTTCTTTCGGTCCAGTCACGTAGGCTTGAGCCGGTCGACGACAACGTTTTTTGAATTGACTGTATATCAAAACTATTTATTTATTCCCTTTGTGTTTTTGTTTACTGCAGTAAAAGATGTAGTTTTATTCCAAGATTACCAGCAGATAAGAGAAAACCATTGCAACAGCGACTTCTACACATTGGAGAGGTAAATTAAATTAATATTTTCAAACTATCTGCGGTCTTATATCAATAACTTGTCCTGCAAATACTCCAGTTTACCGAGTTCTCCTTTGCTCAGCCTTAGCCTTGCTTGTGCTTTATACTATTCAACCAAAACCAGTGGAATTTTAATAAACTTGTGTTGTTCCATAATTTTGATTGGCTAATATTTTTTCTCAGATTAGCTAGAGATATCTCCTCGTTATTACTGAAACCCCATTTTGCAAGTCCACAGTTTACATCAATAATAACAGGTGATCATCATTCAATATTGTATACTTTTCATTTCAGAACTGGGGTGGTAAAAGTGGTGGATTTTCACTTGCTGAATGCTGTAAGGACAAGCCAACAAACGTATGTAGATCTTTAGTATTTAGCATAACTTTATTGAAAACTCACTAGAATGCATTACCATAAACCCCTGAAAAAGTTAACTAATAAAATTGTACAAATTAGTGCAAAATTTTGTGCAGTAGATCTGGTCTACTGAGGTCTACTGAACTTACTGAAACCAACTTACTACTGGTAGATTGTGCAAATTTTTGCCATTTCTTACAAAGTTTTGCATGGACATATATGTATGGTATGGTCTGTGATTAGACCATTGTGTGGGTTACCTGTGGTTCGTTTAGATCACACAGGAAGCCCAACAGATTGTTTTTCAGACAGCATTTCTAACTTGTATTTTATGATGTTGATGTTTTAGGAATTTCCAGAAAGTGCTGGAGATGTTCATTTTGAGTTTTACACACAAGGAGAAGATAACCAAACTGATGAAAATGTAAGAATATGAGTCTGGACTGGTTTTTGACCAATCTCAGACACTGCTTCGGAGTTTGTATCTGCAGAGTCTGCTAATAAACGTTTTCTTTATCAACGTGGTGGAATTCTTGAAAGCCCTTTTGCAGTAAAGCAGTATTGTGGAATATCATTTTAAGTTAAATTTTTTATTTGTTTTTAAAGTCAATAACATTCTATGTATTTTTAAAAGCAGGGTTTTCCTGTCCAAAACCCACCCTGATACTGTACCTTAAAAAAGGGGGTTTACCAGTGGTTCTTGAGTTGCTGTTAGGGCAGTTAGTCAAACAGATGAGACCCACAAGTTTCAGCAGTTAGCATATATAATTGATATATTTTTGTTTGCAGGACCAAGAAAAAGAAAGCCAAGTTTGTTGTATCCACGTTGAAAAGTTATATCAGGTACAAACCAATATTCAGTGTAAAACACTAAGGACAATTCTCTATGATGGCATAATAAACGCAGAAAATAAATAGCATTACTGAGGTTTTCTATAATATTATTCTGCAAACTTGGTAGTTATAAGCTGCAGGCTGAAATTTGGTTTTCGCTGCCGTCAATCAGATGGTACCTTTTAGGTTCTTGACTGACAGCAGTAAACACCAATTTCAGAACAAGCTGTTGAAATGTATGAGTGCGTAGAATATTGAAGACTGCAGTAAATAAGTGCAGCAACAGTGTCATTATCTGCATTTAATCTAATTGTTAAATTCTGTTTCAGTTTTCTGAAAACCCCGGAGAAATAATGGAACAGTTAATGGCATATTACAAAGTACCTGAGGATAAACAAGTAAGTGTGAAACTATATGGATGGAAAATACCTTAAAATCTGTTTATAAGTCCACTAGTTACGAGCCCCCTGGTTATGCAGTAAGCCCCCCAGTTATAAGCGCCCCAGTTATAAGCGCCCAGTAATAAGCCCCCAGTTATAAGCCTCCCAGTTGTAAGCCTCCCAGTTATAAGCCCCCTAGTTGTAAGCCTCCCAGTTATAAGTCCTTGTGGTTATAACTCCCCAGTTTATAAGCCCCCCTCTCCCCCCTGTTTATGAACCCCATCCGATTATAAGCCCCCCTGGTTATGAGTCCTTGTTAGCCCTCACAATTATTCGTCCTTTTCATTAACTTTTGATGATGTGAATGTCAAACATATTTGGTCTATTTTTGTTTCCAGGTTGGTCTATTTTCAAGAGTAAGATTAGCGAGACACTTTCCATTCTACCAAGAAAGATTGAGATGTGTACAAGCACGCTTGTGGGCCATCTCTGTACTGGGTAAGCTGTTGTGATCTAATATTATCAAATAGTAAAATTCTATTATTAAAGCAAATACTGAAGAAGATTATTCATTTGTTCTGACAAAAAAATAATCGCAATCAAAAATGAGAAAATGTTCAAAACTGAGGTGTAACTGTTTCTTATGAAAATAAATTATAGATTTATACTTAGAGTATGGTGATTGTGTACAGCTAAATTCATGCATAAAATTTGGGTATTTTGACCCCTTACAATGTTCGTCATTTAGTTACTGTCATTTAAAATAGTCTTTTGTCTTTGTCCATTTGCAGTTTATTCTAATGTCAGTCAAGATATACAGAAGTCTCTCATGTATCAAGGATTTGAAGAGGAAGTCGTAGAACTACTTGAACTGGAAGATCCAAAATTACTGGTATGTTGATCTGTCGTGACACAGAAAAATATGTAATGGGACATTGAGTTCAGGAACCTGTGTCACATTAATGTGCTTGGAGGCAAGCACTAATAAGCATAATATAACAATAATAGTTTAGTTTATCATGCATCTTCCAAGAGCGTAGAGCTTGTTCATAATTATATGAAAATGCTACCCTTACTTTGTGTGTGGACTAAAGGCACTATATTTTATATTTAGGTGTTAGATATTGCATATAATGATATTTGAACACCTAATGCATTTACAACTCCTGGTTGATGGCGTAATGCCTAACAGGTTTTGCAACCCAACTGATAAGGCAGCCGATAGATTGAATTAGAATTTAGAAGTTGATTTTTGTGGAGGGAGGAAAAACTGAAGAACCAGAAGGAAAAACCCTCATATCACAGGAGAGAACAAACAAACAACTCTACTCACATACAAGACTGGAAGAACTTGAACCCTGGTCTCATTGGTGAGAGGTGGGGCATTAGCAGCACACTCCACTTGTGCTTCACTTTGGATGCTGCCATCTCCCCTATGATAAATAATACTCTGGACTGGAAAGCAATACTCTTTGTATTTTTTCAGGATATCAAGACAGCTGGTATCAGATTGTTGACGTCAGTCATCCATCTTCAGTTTAATCCCAGGTATTATATCTTTGACTAATGGCCAGAGCAATTCATACATCAGTAACAGTTTGTGAGACTAGTAATGCTTGTTTTAATCTGAAAAAAATTGATTAGACCTTATTTGTCCTGGTGCAAGGGATTCCAATTACCATCCAGGTGTCATTTGCCAGAGAGTATTATTTCATTGTGAATAAGAACTTGATTTGTAATGGGGAAAACATTGCACCACATTTGTTGTGATAATGTATTTCTAACTGCTTGTTTTCTATTAGGCTCAATACCATAGTAGAATGTGCTGGTATGGCTTCTTACCATGGCTTCCTCCCTACCCTAATGAGAGATTGTATACAGACTTTAGTAGGTATGTAGTTTATGTGATTCATTAAAGGGGTAATAGTCGCCTTTGCAGTTCCCAGCGCCATCTTGAGAGGTAGCTGTGCCTTTGCATCGCAGCGAGACGAACAGTGAGCTTGCAATGATAGAGACATGCGAATAATTGTCTAAGGTGTTAAAAAAAGGTCTCTACCATTGCAAGCTCACCGTTTGTCTAGCTTTGATGCAAAGGCATGACTGCCTTTCAAGATGGCGCAGGGAACTGTGAAGGAGATTATTGGCTTGAGTACAATTTTGGAGCAAAGCTATGTCACATTTTAAAAAAAAAAAAAGATACTTACCGGAACTGTTTTGAAATAAGTCAACATGTTGCTTGAAATGGGCTGACATTTTATTTTTGCTTTGCCAAGGTTTTGGACTACTTTTCCTTTAGGTCAAACAAAACTAAATGATCTAATCATCTTTTTTTCCCATTGTTTTTTTAGATCCAAACAAGACATCATACCCAATGTCATTTTCTACTGCCCTCTTTTCTTTTGTCTATCATTTTGCTTGCTTTGAAGTAGGTAAGTAACAGTGCCTTTATATTTCCTTTGGGAATCATTGGCAGTATAGCAGTAGTACTGCACTCGCCTCTCACCTCTGGGATCTTAAGCTCAATTTCTGGACCAAGCAGGTCTAGGTTAGGTCTCCCCTCTTCATTTGAGGGCATTTCTCTAGGTCCTTTAGGTTCTTCAGTCATTCTCCCTCTGCAAAATCTAACAAGCTAAATTCCAAGTCAATCTTTGAATTAGACATGCCCTGAATTTGATCGACCCAGAGGTTGTTTCAGGTTATTGCAATTTGGAACTATGGAATTCAAAGCTGTAAAGTAAGGCTGTTATTTTCCAACCTAACTCATATTTTGTTGGTTATTTTTTAAGGTAATGAAGCCCTTGTTTCCAGTGGTCTGGTGGAATCTTTACTGAGAGTCATTGATTACCCTGGAGATGATGAGCATTTAACTGTAAGCCTCACGCCTTATGTAACACAAACTTACTATGGACCTTTATCACTTTTATCACACAACAGCCATGTTGGCTGAAACAATGGATTCCCCTTCATGGCCTCACTTTCAAGCACTTCAAGATGAGGTTACATGTGGTTAGACAAAGATTTTTATTCTCATCGGAATAAAAATGGCACTGTGTGATAAAGGTCCATTGGTCTTAAAATAAGTAGTGAAGATATAATAGATTAAAACTATTACAATATTGTTTTTGCCAGACAATTTCATATCTATATTATTTTCATAACGTTTAACTTTCTTCCTTAAAACAGTTTGTTACCAGAAGCGTAAGGATAATGGACTGGATAGGAAACACTGATACTTCAGGTTACCAAAGTGGACTCACCGCAGTTATCAATCGGCTTGAGGTAAGACTGTGTTAAATATGATCATTCTCTTAAGACCTTGACCATGTCATATGGGCTATAATACATTGTAGGTATCTCCAGTGCATAACATTGTATTGTGTACCTGGTCGTTAATCCAATGCTATATAAAACTACCCTGTTGTTCTGGATCGTTGGGTGTGGCTGTAATACCAGTAGCCTTCATCCTGGAATTTCAGGGATATTTTTTTCCTAGATCTAATTTTGTTGGCACCTCTATTTTTGGGCATTGCCTTTTGTCCATTTACTAGAGGTTTGTTTTACAGTATCTCCCTTGGCGTCTGCTCATTAAAGGTTGTCTACTGAATAGAGATGGCTTAATAAGGGTCGGCCTAATAGGAGAATTACTTTGTAATAATATATTTTATCATGTAACCCATATCTGCCCGGGTGCGTGCTCTTAAAAAAACTTTGGGAAAGTGGTGTGGGCAGGGTCGTACAACAAATCCATACGGCCCTGCTCAAAACCTGCGACTGTATTTATTTTCTTTTTCTTTTTGTGGGGGTCATGTGATAAAATGCTTATTGACTGAGTTAGGTCGGGCTGTACAGGAAAATATTTGGCTCTCTGTCATTTGTACGGGCCTCGCTGCGCTCAGTCAGTACGGCATCACCTTGAGCCAAATATTTTCCCGTACGCCCTTCCCCCTCAGTCAATAAGTACATAATGTGTATTGAAATATTATATGTTTTAAATCTTTAGCATGAAGTCAAGATCTGTATGCCATATCATGGAGGAATCCTTTCACCAGACCTTCCCCAGTCTGACCAAGATAAAAAAGCAACCTCCGAACAAGATAACACAGCAACCATGGACACCAATGAAAGCTCACCACCTCCTCAAGATTCTAATGCCACTGTCCCAATGGAAACAGAACAAGCAGGTCCCAGTGGGATAGAATCGGATGGAAGTAAAATGGAAGTTGAAGAAACAGCAACACTTCAGGCTAATCCAACTGCACTGCAAGTGAGTCAGCACAGATGCCTTCCTCAGAGAGCCGCCCTAATAAAAGCCCTGCTCAGCTTCCTTAAGAAAGCTATTCCAGATCCTGCTTTCTCAGAGACCATCAGAACAGGTGAGTAATCTCTGATATCCAGGTGATTTCATTTCTTTCAGCCAGAATGAATTAGCCAATCAGCAAACATTTTGTTCGAGCTCAATATTTCCTAGTTACAGGATTTGAGCTCGATAAACGACAGATTTTAACAGCTTTTTTTTTTTATTTATATACACTGTATGCATCAATTATTTTTTGCAAAATATATTAACTTTTGACTTGATTTTTTCAGTGATGGATGGTTCATTGCCCACTTCTTTGAAGTACATCATCAGTAATGTTGAATACTATGGGCCAGTACTGTTTCTTGGGGGTAAGTTATTCTGGACAAGACCTTTAAGTCTGGCTCAAGAGATGATTTACAGTATGATTTTTTTCTAAAGTGACAAAAAACTAGAAGTGTTCACAGTTTGAGCATCCTTGTGATAATGATACTAATAAAATATATAGCATACATATTCGAAGTTCAATTCCCTTAACCATGATACTATTTATTTTTGTTATGCAGCTATCGATACAGTCACTGTCTATGTGTTCCATGAGCCTTCTTTGTTGTCATCATTACAAGATAATGGTCTGACTGGTGTGGTCATGAAATCCTTAGTCCTCAAAGATGTAAGTAGTAGTATTTGATAAAAGCATACAACATAAAGCCTGAAAACATGCCTGTAATAATATCCTGGGCAAAACTGATAAACTTTGTAAAAACAGTTTTTATGAATATAAGCAACATGCTACATTGCAACATTGAAAAGGCAGTTTTGTAAGTACCTAGATTATAAAATAATTTGAATATAACAAATTAACGCAAGCGATGTGATTGGCTGGATAAAATATTAGAGATTTGTTAGTGCTGATTGGCTATTGGTTAGCTGTGTTGTTATCAAAGGATAGAGATACTCGGCATGCTTATATCACTGCACAGAGAATGTGCACGTTTCATATTCCTCAATCAAATATTTTTTTGGTAATTGATTGTAGATTCCTGCAATGCGTGAGGTTCTGTCATCTCTACCCAGTGTACTCAGTGCCCTGTGCCTTAACAACAGAGGATTACAGGCATTCATGGCATGCCAGCCTTTTGATAAGTTATTCAAAGTGATGTTGTCACTGGAATACCTTCCTGCTATGAGAAGAAAGAAGGCTACAGAAGAATTAGGTAACATTTTCTGATATTACACCCATGCTTCTTGACTGTTTGAATGCAAATTTATTTGAAGAGTATATAACAGTGCACAGTCCATTCCCACAAGTGTCTTCCAATGTAAGGCTTCCACGAAGGATAAAATAATGCAATTACTATATGTAGTAAGTAAAGTTGACTTGAACAACCAGGTCAGCAGTACTGCTGAGGCCCATTGTTGCACATGCATTTCAGTCACATAGTTAGCTCCACCAGTGATTGTGCTTGCTCAGCCTTTGCACATTAATAGTTTTTTCTGTGACAAATTTTGTGCTGTTACCTAATACAAACTTGTTAATTTAATATAAATGGTGTTGGCGTCATAGGAGAGACAGCATCTAATCTTGGCATAGCAATGGATGAATTGATGAGACATCAACCAACACTAAAATCAGATGCCATGAAGGCTGTAGTCAAGCTTCTACAACAAGTTTGTGAATTAGGCCAAGACCCCAAGAGCATAGGTTATAAAATATCCGATGCTACAAAAGATGGGGATGTTCAAGAAAACTCAACCCAGGGGAGTGCGCCGATCCTTCCTTCACAGGCGAGTGAAGAACCCATGACTGATGATGAGTTTGATGATGATGATCGCTTCAGCTTTACTAGTACTAGTGGGTCTGCAAAGCCATCACCAGATATCGAAAATAACAAAGAGCTTGCCAAGTAAGTATAGTAATGAATAGTAACAACATGCATATTTGCTTAATCTCCGATAATCTCAGAAGATGTGAATTTCATATCATGTCAGTGATTGCCAACATGTTATAGAGCAGTTTTCACGAACACGTTCTTGACATGGCTAGGGATACGCCAGACCAATCACATTGCTCGAGAATTCACTCGAATTCTGAAAAAAATCACAGAGAGAGAAAAAAATCAGCCAATTAAGATTCTAGAAAACGTCACCACATGGCACTGAGCTTTTCACAGTCATACGAAAACTGCACTAATACTTATGTCAGGCCATTTTAAGTGCAATAATTTATATCACGCAATTCAGTTCAGAAGACTAAAGTAAGATAATTATTTTTTAATACAGGGGCTCAGAAGAAGAGAAAAGAACTTTTATTCCCTTGACTGACTACATTCTCAATGTGGTAAGCAAATCCTTCAATTACAAATTATAGAATAAAAGCTAGTAAATCTCCAGGCATGCTGTTGATAGAATTTTACATTGCGCATAAAATTCTGGATAACTGGAGCAGAATGCTATTGATAAACTTTTTCCAGGAACTTCCTGGCTACTTTGCTACCACTTTTCTAAAATCTCTGCCAGACAAGGTGTTCAAATCAGATTGACTCAGTATGTTCGATGCCAGTGTTCAAAAGAACCTAGCTACTGAATAACAATATTTTGAGTCTGTTTTTTTTGGGGGGGTTATTTCTTGGTGTAGCAAGCTTTATTGTATTCTGGGTTAGGGTTTTTGTATTCTGGGCTCTTTTACTCCGACAAAGGACTAGCATCCGAAACGTCAGTTTTTTCATCTTTTCACGGTGTATAATTTACCTTTTCATCATTACTGTTTCGTTAGAAACACTGACGCAGCTCACACTAGTTTTTAGCTAGTTATATCTTCTGGGATATCACTTGACTGCAAACTCATTGTTCTCAGCTATTGTTTTATTAGGCAGATTAAGATTCCTGTTTTCCTTCCTGCAAATGGCGAACGTGACCATGTTTTCAACGTTTCCCTACATTTCACATTACCTTTTGCAAACCTTCTCGACAAAGACAAGTATTCTTTTGTTTATCTACTACTTGGAGATTATTTAGATTCCTTTTCACTAATTTTAAAGAATTGATGTCAATTGACGTTTTACATTTGCCGTAAACGAGAATCTTAAACTCTCTATTGTCTTCATGGTTCAGGTGCCTTGCAACACCAAGAAACAGCCGTTTTCTGTGTTCTTACATTTCTTAGTGATGTTTTATTGACGCAGTGATTCTTATTGTCTAAACAGGTCAAGTTTGTTGATGCCATACTTAGCAACAATTCCACAGATGACCACTGCAGGGAGTTTGTGAGACATCAGGGTTTAGTTCCTCTGGTTGGAATACTTGGTCTCCCTAATTTACCTCTAGATTTTCCTTCATCACCTTCCTGTCAAGCTGTATGTAGTGTTTCCAAGTCACTGCTGGTAAGGACTATATGAAAATCTTAAATGTATTTAGCTTTGGCTGTCATATCACAGTGTGAGACAATCACTAAAGAGCTAGGCTCCAAACTAGATGAAAGCCCAAAGATTGAACTGGAATTTAGAAATTGATTTTTGAAGAGGGGGGAAAGTGGCAAGCCTTATCTCTGTACTACAAAACATAAAGAGTGACAAATTGATTATTTATTCTTTTGTTATGAGAAACTGATATGAGTTTTCTGGCTGTATTGCTTTTTTTTTTTTTTTTGCTATGATGCACACACGAATCATGGCTATAATGCATTGTAGGTATCTCCAGTGCATACCATTGTATTGTGTACCTGGTCGTTAATCCAATGCTATATAAAACTACCCTGTTGTTCTGCATCGTTGGGTGTGGCTGTAATTCCAGTAGCTTTCACCCTGGAATTTCAGAGACAGTCATTTCTCTCCAATAATAATATAAGAAGAAATATAAATATAAAAAGAAAACCTTTGTCACGAATCCCTAATCATTGCAACAAAGTACAGCAGTGATGTAGCTCAACAGGGTTGAAGTGGCTCATACAAAAGTCCCAAATTTTATTTGCAATCCTTTAACTATCCAACCTAGACAACTAGCCATGATTAGATGAAAATTTTGGCTTGTTCTTCAGATCACAATGATAAAATTGATATAAGATTGAAGCTGAAAATGTGAGATCTCGATTATAGCATCTTGTATATTTTGGTTAACAGCTAAGTATTTGACTCCAAAATCGTGTCAGTAAGGTGTTGGCATGCTTTTGATATTCTTTTGAGATGATGCCTTAAATAGGTTGCCTTTTAAGGTATGTTTGCCATAGATTGGCCAGTTATCATTGATACCTCATTTTTACAGATGCTTGCCCATGAACCTCAAGTCTTGAAGCAAGGCTTATTGCTGCTAAAACAGTCACTGGACAAACTCAAGTCAAATATCTACAACCCATCAGAGAATACAGACCTGTCAATCTGCCATGAGGTGGTATCAGCAGCCAAGCCAGACAAGGCCATGCACTCTCCCCAGCAAACACCACTACTGCATGCCATCACTGCTGTCCATGCGTGTATCACCATGTTCCTCTATGTGTGTCGCTCTGGACAGGTGAGAAAGGTGAAGACGGTTATTTTGTTTATTTTTTACAGTATGCATGTTTACAGTCAAAATGGCTCAGGCTAACCCCCTAGGTCCCATCAATGGTTTCATTATTTGAATCAAAGTTCATTGTACTCCTTGAAAAATCCTTGAATTTAATTCACATTTCAAGGGCACTTGAAAAGCTCTTGAATTTTACGATTTTAGCCAAACTCCTTGAAAACTCCTTGAAGTTTTGTTTTGATCATTACTTGCATGGTTCTGAAATAGATCTAGTCGGAAAGATCGGAAAATCTGAAAGTCGGCCATGTGCAACCACCGTGTAAAACCTTGGCAYAGTTAGCTGAACATACTCCTTGAAAATTCATTTTTGGGTCCTTGTATACTCCTTGAATAGTCCTTGAATTTGTACCTCAGCACAAACCCTGTTGAATATGGAAATTATTATTTTTTGGCATTCAAATAATAACTGATTCAAGACTCGAATTCTGATTGGATTATGGTGTTCCTTATGTGTGAATTAAGCATCTTAATTCAAATCAGTAGACATTCATGATGATTTACTTTGTTTTCCTGTGCTTTTCCCAGATGGATATCCGTACCATGTGTATAAATCAGTGGGGTTCAGAACTGGGTCAGTCTCTGTTAAGTCAGTTGGGAGAGCTATATATGTCACTGCTATGGGAGACCACAGTACTAGAGACAGTTGAAAAGGAGGAGGTTGATCTGATGAACGAAGGCAAAGAATCAACAGAAGAAACAAGTACAGGTAAGATTGAAATACTTAGTGTTTTCAAACTTCCAAGTTCATTTAATAGTCTCAAGGTAGCCTTGCCATTGGATTGACATGAGACAAACAGTGAGCTTGCAATGATAGAGACCTTTTTTGAACATCTTGGACAATTATTCACGTCTCTATCAAGACACATGAATATGGATACAACTCAAGCAAAGAATTTTATGCTCGGCATTCAAGAAAATGATAGTCTCAAGCTAAAGAGAAAAAGTGGATGGGTTCCAGTGGAGAAATTATTTTTAATTTATTTATCAATATGTCTACCTTTACTCAGGAAACTTATCTTCTGAGAGCGCCAAGGACAAAGAACCATCAGAAAAGACAAGTAAAGGTGACATTGAACAGAAGTCACCTCTAATGCCATCTCAAAGAAGAATCGTAAAACAGCTTCTACAAGTGACTTCCAGTGTCAACAAGTCCTTGTCGGAATTCTTTAGCTCTCTTCTGAAATTAAGTGTAGGGACTACTCAAAAGCAACGCCGACCCCCTCACGGTATCAGCACCCCAAGTGCGCCATCACTGAGTGCTAAAGTAGTCACGTCTCAGCTCTGCAAGGTGCTGAAGAATGCACTATCATGGAAAGGAGCAGCTGCTGATAAGTCATCGCCTGGGTTGAGGCTTCATTTCTATGTCAATACAATCAACTTTGCATCGAGGCTTCTCTTTGATGATAAGAAGTTCCCATACCATCTGATGCTACAGCAGTTCATGATGTCAGGAGCTCTAAACAGTTTATTTGAGTAAGAATGAGTCTTTCATTGATGAAGTTTTTGTTACATTAAATGCCAATAGGCCGTTTGCATGAAGCCTCAATTTACTACTACTTCCAAAATGCTTCATGAATTTTCTTTCTTAATCAAATTTGTATTTCCTCATGAGAATAGTAAGACAATTGGTGCAAAAGAAAGTGTACGCAAGGGATTTTGGTAGTGGTAGTAAATGACACTATAATGCAATTGACCTACTATATACATGCTGAAACTTTGATTTTTGAAAAATAAACTATCAATTTAAATTTATCTTTGTAGGAAATTTAATTGGGTTTTGAGTCAAGGAGGTAAAATACCACTTGATGCCGCAGCAGATCACCCAGACATGCCAGGTACTACATGTATAAACATTTCATTAATAATTTCGTAAAAGGGTTGTTTGTGAGATGGGTGTAGCCTGCAGGCAATATCTCAAATAAATAATAAATAAATAATTTTCATTTAAAGTATTTTGTTATTACAATTGATGGAGATCTCTCTTTATATTTTGATCTGACTGTGCACATCCATTTACATTTACTTTTGATGTTTTTCTTTGCTAGATGGCACAGAAGAAATGATTGATGCCTGGTTAGTTTTTGTTGAAAAACTAGTCAATACTAAGGCCATCCTTGAATCACCACACAGTCTACCCGCTTCGTCAAATGCTGAAGGTTTTGTGCCATTCAAGCCCATTCAGTTCCTTATCAAGACACACAAGGTAACATTTTAATAGTTATGTGTACATGCAACTGAAGGAATTAAGATGAGAGTTAAGACCCAAGAGGTGAGTTCACTCTCCCCTCACCTCTGGGGTTTCAGGTTCAATTCCTGGACTTGGCATCACAAGTAATATTTTTTTAATTCTCTCCCTTGACTTGAAGTTTTCTTTCCTGGTTTCTCTGGTTTTCTACCTCTCCCTCTTGCATAACAAAGTTTAACATGCTAAATTCCAATTAGACTAGTTGACGCTGGCTTATTTTTTAAAAGACGTTGTAGGGACATTTCAGTCCACTGTCAGACCATCTTTAGTGTAAAGATGTTAGAGTCCTGGTTGGAACTTTCGCATGCTAAATTCCAGTCTATTCTAAAAGAATTTGAATTTGAGACACTTGCAGTGCAGTTGGATTACGATATACTTTTTAAAAAAGAGATTTGCTTAAAAATCTTTAAAAATTCCCTTCCTCTATGCATTTATTGTGGTTTATAAGATAACTGTTAGAAATCTCGCATTCTGATTGGTTGGGACCGTGTGCTTTATGAGAGCACACAGCATGCAGGCGCCCTTTGCATTTTATAAAAGAAAAAAGAAATTGTTTGCTGTGCGGTGTGGAGTTATGAAGCACTTGGGGATTGGCAGAACACTCGAGAAGTGTCAAAAAGCACTCTGCTACGTGTCGTGCTTCTCCTAATATTTCTCTCGTGTTCTGCCGATCCTTACGTGCTTTATAACTTCACAGCATGCCCGCTTATTTTCTATTTCTTCAAGATATAGCATCCATGTTTGAACATTTACTTTTCACAGAGGGCATTCAGTGCAGTAGGTCACCTGTGGGGTCATAAGCCCTTCAAGGTCCATGGATCTCACATAGCAGAGACAATGCTGGCCATCCTTTGCCATGTAGTTCAAGGTGAAAGTATCATCAATGAAAAGTATGGGACAGATAAATCAGCCACAAGTAAAGGTGGTGCTACAAGTGTAGAACCCTCTAGTGCATCATCTGTACTTGGTGGAAGAGCTACAACACCCCCACAACCTGAAGTGGATGACCAAAATGTCCAGCAGGTTTGTTAAGCTGTTACATATTGATGGTGTCTCTCTTTCTACTGTCCTTCACTTCTATATCTAAATTTCGGTTTAGACGGTTCGATTTTCACCTACAACTATCGTACACAATACGCTCACGTCTGTCGTAGGCGAGTTGTAGGCTTGATTTACACGCTACGACTCAAGTTGTAGGATGGTGTGAGCGTGTTGTATACTATAGTTGTAGGCATAAATTGACTGTCTAAACCGGCCTTTACTCCCTAAAGTTGATCCTGCACTTTTACTTTGTTCTACCCCCCCTTTACCCCCTTACCCCCTTGTCCCTTGTTCAGGTTTGTTTAGTTGTTACGTTTTGTTGGTGTCCCTATTTCCTATTTTGCCCTTGACTCTTCTGTTAGACCCTTCTTTTAATTTGACATCCTTACAGTTATTGCTCCTCTGTCAGTTTCAGCTCTTATTCCTGTACTACCATTTGTTTATGGAATTGTTTTTGTCCTACTGACGTCATGACATTTCCTTTTATCACATTAATAGTTAGTCGACATGGGTTTTACCAGAGCACAAGCAAGGCATGCATTAATGAGCACCAACAGTCTTGAACAGGCCACAGAGTTTATCCTTAACCACCCATACCCAATGCCTGTTGACCCAATAGGGGTAAGTTACAACATGACAATAGTGATAAACACCCACTCCTGCTAAAACAAATCTTGGAAAAAATAGAGATGAAAAGCCTCTGTAGAGTAGATTTTTTTTGTACATTGTTTATTTTTCTTGTGGTCCTGCTCTTTGCCTTTTTTTTTTTTTTTTTTNTTCACATACGTTCCCCCCACCACCTCCCCCTTTGCTTGGATCCGAATACCTGTGTCAAACATAGTGTCGTCGGGTTTTTAATACACGATGAATCTATGTTCTTAAATTAGGAATGTAAACAAAGATGGGGGACTGGGGGATTTTTTTTTTTTTTTTTGGTTTTTTTTTTTTTTTTTTTTTTGTCATGTTATTATGAGCTTTGTTTGTAATAATTATCCCAGAAAGATATTTCGGACATTTGATGCATAATATTCATTTTTGGTGCCATTGTTATTAGCATGAGTAAAGCTGTTTCAAGCACGATCAATCACTTCTTGCTTGCGAACACCCAGATACACTGTATTACTTTTAACTATCGCTATAGTGGACACTCTCTATTATGGACACCAAGTGATAGTCCTGAGTGTATCCGCTGTAACAAGAGTTGACTGTATTGGGAAATTTGTTGATTTGTTGTGATTTGTTGCCAGGATATTAGCCAGGTACATGACTTTGGTCTTGACTATGACATGTCAGAGGAGGATCAAATGATGAGAGCAATAGCATTGTCTCTTGGTCAAGATGTCTCCCCAATGGCTGTTGACCAGGTAATACTATTGATGATGTCCTTAGACACGTTCCTGCGACATGTTTTGTGTATTTCTCTTTTTCAGAAAAATCCCAAAATTTATGATATCTGGTAATAAAGGTTATATATTTATTAAAGAAAATTTTTGTGTTTGCCATTTACCATTCATATCCCAAATAACAGTTATTTTAATTTGAACTAAAAAAACTTTTGTATCCATCCTGCTTCTCTTAACACTTCTCACCTCATGTTCTGCCAATCCCCATATGTTTCATAACTGTGTGTGCATCTGCTATTTCTTCACCAGTAGTTTTAATTAATGTGAAAAGGTGTAACTTATGATCTGTTCTGCATATTTTACTTTAGCCTGCTTCAAGTTCCTCTGCCACCAAGAAGACAGAGGAATCAGAAACTGCGTGCAAAGATGAAGCACCCCTTTCAAATGTTCTGTTAGACAACTTTACTCAGAAAATCTTCCCCAGTTGCCGACAACTCCTAGAAGAACTTCCAGATACTGTGTACAAGGCTTGTAAGCTTTTGGCTGCCGTTGCCAAGCGAAATGGATCTGAATGGAGAGACAAGGTCCTGGCTGAGGTTATGGATCAGGTAAAAAATAAAAGCCACAATAGTACAGATAATGGAACCTACTAAATATTATCTTGGATATGAGGCTAACATTGAAATACAAAAGAAATGCCACAAATTCAATGAAAAGAAGGTCTGATTTTCTTTCTATTAACCTCATGTTAGCAAGTTTTTTTTTTATTAGGGCTCATTTGTCATTCATCCATAAGTTATTTCTTCCATCCTTCCATACATCCCTCCATCCATCCACCTTTACACCTACCCACCCATACACTCATCCATCCATCCTTGCATCCATCCGTCCATCCATCTATCCGGCCACCCACCCACCCCCTTATCCATCCATCTATCCATCCTTCCTTCCTTCCATCCATCCATCTATCCACCCACCCACCCATCCACTTATCCATCCATTTATTTATTCATCCATCCATCCATCTATTCAGTTTCTTTTTCTTCTCTCTCTTCCCTTCCCCTTTAAACCACTGGCTTTGCTGCTCTTACCCTTACTGCACAATTACAGCATCAATATTCATATGAACTTCAATGGCTGTGCATGTATTTACTCTAGGTGGGGAAAGATACAGTTGCTGTAATTAAGAACTGCAGTCCAGAAAGCAACAAGGACAAGAATTTAGAAGAATTTGTTCCTCAGATGTGCACCATGACAGAAGCTGCAAGACTTTCTTCTCTACTACATTTATCCTGCTTGATGTTTGAGGTATAGTATAGACAGGTGCAATTATTACACCTTTTGCTGTTCATTAACCGCAAAGGAATATTCATT